ACATCTTTTTAATAATTTTAAAATATTTAAAACATCAAAATTTTTATTACGCCTTCAATTTTGTAAGATTCTTCTTCTGTTTCATTTACTTCAATCATTACACTGCGGTGCATATGTTTATGCACACTAGTTTTTTGTTCATAATTTTATGCAATCTTATTCAAAAAATACGTTCTATATAGCAATCGAAAGCTCTATTTGTATCTCAGTTGACATGTTTATGCATTTTCCATGAAAATGAAAATTGGCCGAGATAATCCGGATCTACCGGATATACCAAATCCCATATCCTCGGAAAAATTCTTCGGAAAAAATTTAACAAACCCATTTGATAAAGCATATTTTTGTGAGTATTTACCACAAAACCGCTTAGAAATATCTTTTTCCGGAACGGAGATATGATTTTTTGAAAATCGAAAAAAAGCGATTTTTTGAAGAAAAATGGCAAAAATATGGTATTTTTTCGATTTTTAAAAATTCATAACTCGGTTGAATCTCGACCGATTTGGATGATTTTTTTGTATTATATGTAGAATCTAGAGGAGAATCACACATATTTTTTACAGACCTCAAAAAAATTTCTTCGAAAAGTTGAAAATGTAGTACCTGTTAGACCGGTCGAAAAGTTTTCGAAAATATCAGAATTTCGAAAAATGCAGAAACTTGTCAACTGAGATACAGATAAAGCTTTCGATTGCCATATAGAACATATTTTTTGAATAAGTGTGCATAAACTTATGAACAAAAAACTAGTGTGCATAAACATATGCACCGCAGTGTATATGAAAATACCAGGAAATGTATAGTAATTCTTTCTCTTTCTCTCCAAATTCTTCTTTTCACATTTTCATCATCAATCACTTTGAAAGAAATTTGATGGGCGAGCATTTGGAGCGGTCATCATTCAAAGGCGTCAATCCATCAAATTAACGTCCATTGGAGGGGGAAGTATGTATATATTGGTAACAGATGGAAATAAATGTTTGGTGGAGGGGAAAAAGATAGAGAAAATAAAATTTAAAAAAATTTTAAGAAAGAAAATGAAAAAATAATTTAAAATTAAATGTGAATAGGAGGTAATAATTGTTTTAAATTTATGAACAATAAAATAATTAATTAATAGTTAAATATGTATATCTAAAAGGAATTTATGTAGAAATTAAATACTACTGGATTTCAATTTTAAATACTCAATACAAGTCTATTTAAGAGATAAATCTTATCATTAAGGGTATATTTTATAGGGTCTGACTTTACATACCAATATGCACAGGCATGCAAACATGTAAATCTTTAATTTCAACAGTTTAAAACCCCATTTAAATTGGAATAAACGGGCACGGAGTCCTGTCCAGTATTAGCCTATGGATACATTACTATTTTAGGGGTATAATAAATAAATATACACAAGCTTTGTGAATATCCTTAATTGTAACTAACTAACTCCATCTCTAATCGACCAAATTGATCTTTATCTGATTTAATCTCTTTTATTCATATTGTTGCTAAGGATAGAAATAAATCAGAAATAATTTCCTGTTTAATATTTAGCTTTCAAAGACAGTCGAAATTAGATTTCATCCTTGAACTGAAAAATTATCATAAAGTTTAAATAATCTAATAATATTTAGCGTTGCCGGTTTGTAATCGAAAAACTATTGAATTTTCTATTAGACTTATGATAACCGAAAATTTTCCAAGAACAGACAATTTTAGATATTTCTTTTAGTGAGGCCCGACATTTTTTGACTAGTTTTTTTACCTTCTAACAAATATTTTTATTTAATTTAATTTCAAGTTTTTCTCCTTTTCAATTCTTCTTTTAACTCTTTTTAAAATACTAATAAAAATAATCAGTAAGTGTATTCCTTAAAATTGATGTGAAATCAATAAATAATGTTTTGTTGGGTGATTCGCAGCATTCTTGGTTGTTATTTTAAATGAAATACTTGTATAAATTTATTTTATTAATGTCTATGTACATTTAAATGTTAAATAATTTGTTGTTAATTTTCTTGAAAATTAACTAATAATTTTTATGAAATTTTCGTCTAATCGGATCGGATTCTGTCTTAGATTTCGATTAATTTATTTATTCAGTTAAATTCAAAACTTTACAATTTTCGCAACTTATCACAGCAATTGGGCACTAAAATGCTTTGAGAATTCTGTTGTTAAGGAAGATTTATTTTAGGAAATTTTTTAAAATTATTTTTCTTTCTTTTGATAAAAAAATTAATTAATTAAAATGTCCTCTTCTTCCTCTTTACCAAGACAAAGTCCTTGGCCTGCAATAGAAATGCAACAAGCATTACAAATTCTCGAGGAAATTGTTGGGTTAAATTTGGATAAATTAAGAAGTATTGAACAAAAACAAACAAATAATTTAAAAGAATTAATTGGCTATGTTTTGGCAGAAACTTTATTAGCGTTTAGACCCGTTCCTAATTTTCGTGCTTCTGTTATGGATGGATATGCAATTATTTGTTTGTATTTTAATTGTTTTAGTTTGACCCTCACTCCCTTTGATCTGAAAAGATGTATAGGGTAAATAACTCCCTTAATAATTCCTTCCCCCTTCCCTCTCCCCTACTTGGTTTTCAACTAAATTTAAAAAATCTTAAACTGAGGCTATCTTGTATTGGGGGTATCTAATAGTGTGGTCTTAATATTATCTTTTAAAACTATCACAACTTGAATATTATTATTTTTCTTTCTCTGACAGATAAGAGGGTTATGGGTTGGAATTAACTGCGGACGGTTTTTGTCGATTTATAAATCCCCTTATTTATTAATAACTCCCAAAATTAATTTAAAAAATAATTTTTAGCCTCTGATGGAAAAGGACCTCGCAAAGTTGTTGGTGCTTTCAATGCAGGAAAGGCAACGTCAAATGGACATAAAATGTTGGAATCTGGCCAATGTGTTCGTATAAGTACTGGGGCTAAATTGCCTGAAGAGGCAGATGCTGTTGTGAGGTTGGAGGATACAGAAGTGTTGGAGGAAGATGTTTGTGTGGGGAATTATTGAAATAAATTTTTTTGACAATTTTAGGATGACGGTAAAGAAATTTTGATAGATATTGGAATTAACCCAAAACCAGGACAAAATATTCGGTGAAGTTTAAATTTAAAAAAGGAGGGAGTGATTGTTTAGAAATAAAAAATTTAAATATTTTTTAGAGAAATTGGCAGTGACATAGCCAAAGATGAATTATTATTAGCAAAAGGTATTCGTTTGGGGGCATCCGAAATTGGCCTACTTGCTTTGAGTGGAAGAAAAACGGTGCTTTCTTTATACATTCAAGCCTTAATATAAGATAAAGGGGGCTTATAATGAGCTTTTAATATATCTTAAATAGAGGTTATGCTTAGGTATACCCCCTTCCAGCCCAGTAGCCAACCTAATTTCTAAACGTATCTTAAATTGTGGGGGGTGTATTCAGTAATGAGTGTAGTATCTTATAATTAAGTGTTTGACTGTTAAATGATTATTTTCCTTAAAAAAGGTTCTTGTTTATTCCAAACCAAAAATTTGTGTTTTATCTTCCGGAGATGAATTAATTGATTTTATTAATTTGCCTAATAATGGAGATAATGAATGGCCAATTGATGGAGTTATAGATACAAACAGACCTGTTTTGATTTCTCTTTTATTAGAGGAAGGATTTCATCCAATTGATTGTGGAATAGCTAAAGATAGGTAAATTGAACTAATAAAAATTAAATGAAAAAGTGGAGGAGGGGAGGGGGATATTTATAACGAGATTCCCTGTAATGGACTTAGAATGTGAATAATTTTTTTGGTTAAAAATAATTATTTTCTAGTGAAGAAGAATTAATTAATTCAATAAAGAATGCTTTTTCTAAAAGTGATATACTTGTAATAAGTGGAGGTGTTTCTATGGGAGAGAAAGTATTTTTAGATTTAAATTAAATTTAAATTTTCTTTAAAATTTTTTAAAAGGATTTATTAAAGTCAATTTTAAATAAACATTTTAATTTAAAAATAAATTTTGGACGTGTTTATATGAAGCCTGGGTTGCCGTCTACTTTTGCTTCGGGAATTGGATTGGATGGACGTCCAAAATTGGTTTTTGGATTGCCAGGTGGGGGTTTCTTTGTTTAAAGGAAGAATTTAATCATTAATGGGTACATCTCAATTTTAGAATTGGAGGGTGGAAGGGTTACCTAATCGGGAATACTCTCTATCTATTTCAGATACCCCCCCCCATCTCAAAACTTAAAATGATATTTTCTTTCATAATCTTTTTCTTAAGGCAATCCAGTCTCTGCATTTGTTACTTCCCATTTATTTGTTATCCCCCAATTACGAAGAATTGCTGGTTTAGACATTAATTGGGAAAATATAAAAATTAATGTTGAGGTATATTTTCTAAACAAAACTATATTTTATTTTCAAAAAAAAAAGTTGTCCAATTCAATTCCTTTACTCGATTCCCGACCAGAATATTGTCGAGCTATTTATTTACATCCAAACAAATTAAATTCAATTCCTTCAATTCCAAAAGTTAAATGTTTATTTAAAAACAAAATTTCTTCTAATTTATTATCTACTCGATCGGCTAATTTATTGTTGGAATTACCTTCAAAAGAGGAGGAAGAAAAGAAAGGAAATTTTAGTGGAATTAAATCTGGTGATGTTATTAATGCTTTAATTATTGGAAAATTGTGAATTTAATAGAAATAAATAAATATTTTATTAACTAGTTAATTATTTAATCTTTAAATTTATTAATTATTGAGAGCTATAAAAAATAGTTTGGGAAAACATTTAGGAGAGAATAAATTTTAAAACAAAAAGGATTTTTATTTGAAAATATTTATCAGATATTAAACACTCCATTTTTTCTTTTAAATTATTGCGCAAAAAATAAATAAATATAAAATCAAATTAATCAATTAAAAACTAGTTTAGTATATTTAATTAATTAATATTTTCTTTCTTTTATTTTTAAAAAAGAAATTAATAATTAAAAATAAAAATGAAATTAACAACTGATTACGAAAGAGATCAACAATGTGCATTTAGACGAAGAACTCAAACACAACAAGGAATTCAAGATTTACCAGAAAAAGTCTAACATTTTAAATTAACTTACCTCATTATAAGTTACACCTCATAGGCTAGAAAATTATATGTATAATTGTTGGGGTTTATTTTCTAAGGAGGTTAATACTTAGGACAAGACATTTAAGTACCGCGGTCGTCTGTCTATTATTCCCCCATATGCTAGCTAGTCTCGTTCATTTCCCCTTTCAAACAATATACAAATTATTTTTTCAATCTCTCCAAGAGGGAATCAGAGGAACGATTCTTTTATTTTATTACAATTAATTGGCTACCTTAATTTTCTAGTATTTTCTCCCCAATATTAGTCATAAGAGAGATAACTCTCCGAATTTAATATTTTTCAGTGTCCATGTGAGGCCTTGGCTGAGCGAGTACTTGCTGGCGAATCCCCTGCCCAAGTCCATCGTTGGGCTTTACACAATCAACCACCAAAATTTCTTCGCCAATTAATTCGTTGTCTAGCCCCTCCTTCTGTTGTCCAATCCGAAGCTTTGATTGGCCAATTTAGCCATTCAGCTAATCAATTATGGGCAACTGCGGGAATGGCTGTTCCGGCTGGAGATAATGATGATGGACAATTTGGGAAATTCTCTTTCGATTCTCTTGAACGTTCAAAACCTGCAACAAATGCTGTTCAATGTTGTGAACATAAACCTTTGTTTTTAGCAATTTTGGTAGCTGAAAGAGGGGGGCATTTTACTTTATTACAAAGGCAAGTGGAATTATTGGTCCCTTGTAATTAATTAATTTAAAGTTGGGGAATTCCTTTGGCAAATATAAAAGACAGTAAAGGCCAAAATCCTTTACATTTGGCAGTACAAAGACAAGCAACAAATTCAGTACAAGAATTATTACAATTATTGCCAAGAGATAAAATATTGGAAAAAGATTTAAAAGGAATTAATTCTTTACATTTAGCAGCAACACAAAAATCATCAAAAATATTAAAAGTTTTTTTAAATTTTAGAAAAATATTAAATTAATTGTTGCTTTTTAAAGCTTTTATTGGAAATATTAGAATCTGAAGATCTTCAATTAAAAGCTATTGACAAAGAGGGAATGACTCCTTTACATCTGGCTGCAGCTGCAGGGTCAGAACAATGCTGCGAATTGTTATTGGCGCCTAATTGGAGATTACCTGTTGATTCTCGTGATAAGTAAAGAGAGAAATTTGGAATAAATTAATGACTAGTTCTTGGGCCTTTGTGAATATTTTCATAATTAAAACTCGGCTCCCGATCGGAGGATATCCAATTTTCTATAATGCATCTTAACTCAGTTTTTGAGAGATTTAGAGGAGTGAGAGAGTTTGAAAAATTTAGAGACAATTCTTTAAAAATATATCCATTTTTAGCTTAGGTCGGACACCTCTTCATTTGGCCGCTTGGTGTCGTGTCGGTTAGAATTTTTAAATTTCTAAAATACCCAAAATTATTAGGCACAAATGTTGTTAAACTTTTAATGGCAAAAAAGTCTATAGCCGCGACAGCTAGAGACCAACAAGGATGGACGCCATTGCATATTGCCGGTAATTAATTAATTGAACCTTATAAAATAATTATACTTTTATTTCAGTCATGGCTAATAATCGTCCGGTACTTGAAAAACTTCTTGAGGCAATGGGACCAGCTGGGGCTCAAGTAAAATTAATAATTTATGTAATGGGGAAATTTATCTAATATTTACGAAAAAACGGGGTTTTAAGGCTGTATGAAAGAAAAGTCATGTCTCAATGTTTGATGGAATTCACTTGCCTGTTATATTTTAATTTAATTTTTTAATTTTAGATTTTTGATCACGATTCTCGAACTCCATTACACGTAAATATTTTCTTAATTTAAATAAAATTCCCTCATTTTTTTGTGAATTAAAAAATATTTATTTTAAAAACAGTATGCTGTACTTTATGATAGAACTGAAATTGCGAAACTTTTAACCCTTCAAGCTGGTGCCACAAATGATACAAGAGTTTTTAGGAATTTTATTTGTAAAATTATTTTTAAAAAAGGATCGTTTTAATGTAACCCCGGCACATTATGCAGCAGCATGTGGCTCTATTTCAACACTTAAGGCTGTCTTATGTGATAGGGAAGGACAACAACAACCTGTAGATAGTGAAGGAAGAACTCCATTTATGTGGGCAGTTATTGGACAAAATGAAAAATTGGTGCTACAAATGGTTAGAAGGGGGGATAAAAGATTTTAAAAAATTAATTATAGTTAAGCAACAAAACTAGAGCTAGTCAATTACTTGCTTGTAAAGATCATTTTAAAAGGTAAAAAAATTTAAAATATATGTAAATAATCTCCAAAATTACCCACAGAAATTGCCTTCATTTAGCAGCATTAAGAGGTGGAGTAGAAATGTGTAAATTACTTGTAGCAAGCAATAATACATTAAATGTAATAAATATTTTGAAATTATTTTTTTAATGAATTTAAAAAGGTAGAAACTGATGAGAATGGGGCAACACCCGAACATTTAGCTGCTGGGCAGGGAAATAGGTTGTTAAAATTAAATTTTTGTTTATGTTTAATTTTAAAGTGAATTAGTCCTTTGGTTTGGGTATCAACGTGGACACTTATCCCCACCTTTGGATGGAATGGATAGGTAATTAATTAGTTGATTATAACAGGACTTCTAAATTATTTAGAACCCCTTTTTTCTACGCTTGTTTAGGAGGGCAAGTATCAACAGTCGAAGCTATGGTAAACAAAATAATTTTTTAAAAAATTCCAAAATTTTTCTATTTTTTATCTCCAATCCCTACATATCACCCCCGAACATATAGACAATCTTGGACGTTCTGCCCTTCATTGTGCTGTTATTTCTGGTTCTTTAAATTGTGTTAAAGCTTTAATTGAAAGCAAAGTATTTTTTTAATATTTAATTTTATTTTCTTTTTTTTCTAGCTTTATTTCAACATAAATTTAGCTGATAATAATAACAAAACACCTTTGGATATAGCTAAAGAATATAAAATGGTGGAGATTGTCAGATATTTGGAAAGAAAATAATTAAGGAAATCCTCATTATAAAATACACTCTTGGGGCTAAAAGCATCTTTTAATGAAGTGAATTTCAAATAGGGGGTAACTAGGGGAGGTATAGCTTAGCCCTCTCATCCAATGACCAATAAAATTTTTAAAAAATGTACATATTTTAAATCTAGCTTTATCTAGTATTGAGTATATTTTATAGTGAGGTCATACATATATAAAAACTGTTATTGGAGAAAAAATATTTTTTTGGTTATTTTTAAAGTACCTAACATAAATTAAAAGTCAAAATAATAATTTCAAAATATGTGTCAATTAATCAACAAATATTTATAATTTCTATTGGATAATAACTTTTGTGATTCCCTCCTCCAATTTGAATTAAACTAAAAGAAAATATTTTTATTTAAATAAGTTAAATTATTTTTTAAACTTTAGTTAAAATTAAAAGGATGGGGGAAAGGTATTTTTAAAAGAAAATAAAAAATAGTTGTAACTTTTAAATGTTTTCACAAACAATGGAGGGGCCTATTTTTCATCTTTTCCAAACTTGGAATCAGAAAAAAAAGGGTTTTCAGGTTCTTCCAACTAATTGGAATTAGTTCTTATCCACTAATTTAAATTCACATTTCCAAATAAAATTCCCCAATTTCCCACTTCAATATAAAATTTAGAAAGGTATCCAGTCCAAAGCAAAGTCAGAATCTAAGGAACTTTTTAATTTCTTAATTTACCAGGGCCATTCAGGATGTTTTAAAGTAATTTGTTGTTTCTTTAAAATATATTGTTGTACAGTTGGCCCTTTCATAAAAGCAAATGTTCTATTAGCCCCCGTCAAAGTTAATCCACCAAAAACAAAATTTATTGGTTTCTTTCCATATAAAGCAGTTAATTGTTTTCCATTCAACAATTTATTTATTGTATTTAAATCTCTTTTAAAAATCATTGAAAGTTCATTTTCAACGGAAATACCCAGATTTCTCATTAAAAATTGAGGAACTGTTTCAAGTCTTAAAAAATATGTATTATTCTGATTTAAAAATATTTTAAATCTGAGGGTATAGGCCACTCTACTGCAAAGTCAAAACTAAACGTAACAATGGTATCCGATAAAATGTCGAAGACTAGGCTGCCGTAGATCAAGGTCTCACCAAAGATTGAACTTTTTTTAACTAATGGACAATTGCGGATGGAAATACTTGGGCAATACTTTAACTAGAATGTTTACAAGTCTATATTTTTATTTACCAGATATTATTAGAAATACCCAATAATCGTATTTTAATTTTTAAAAATTAGTCCACGGATTTCCGACTTTTCCGCCCACAACCGCTTTATTATAATATTTTGTAATTTTATATAGCTAAAGAAAAACTAATACGCTACCTCTTTTCTGTATTAGTCAACTGTCTTTTTTCCACATTTTGTTGTAAACTTCCAATAGAACTTGAAGGATTATTAACTACAACTTTAATTCTTTTATCTAAAAATAAATAATTAATTTAAAATATAATTAAAGAAACATTTAATTTCTCCTTCCTCTCCCTCACTAGAACTACTTCCAGTTGAGGAACCTGATGAACCAGACGAGGACGAACCAGAAGAAGATGTGGAGGAGGAGGATGTAGATGATTCTCTTGCTCTCCTTTTCCTTTCAGATTTTTGAATTTTTTGACTGAAAATATAATTCAAAATTTATTAAAGTGTGGATTATTCACCTATCTATTACGGCATTTAAATCCTCCGAAGATAATTGCTGTCTTTTATCAGTAGATTCTTCCATTAAAATATTTTTTTATTTAATAAATATTCTTAAAAATGAAAAAAATAAAGTAATTGTTGAGAAAAGTTGGCTCCTGAAGGAATCGAACCCGCGCCCCACCGAAGACGAATTAAAAGAGGATTCTCTCAAATTTCTCATTAAAAATTGAGGAACAAAAAACTGAGGATGGTCTAATGATTATCGTGACCATATTTTATTTTTTAGACCTTAAACCCCTATCTAAAATGTTTTAAAGGTTTATCCTTAAACGGAGATATTTACATATATGGGCAATTCCCATAGGAAAAATCTCTACATTTTTTTAGATATATTGACTTATGAAAAGCATAAAAAGCAAAAATAAAACCTAAATAAACTAAAAAAACCTTTCCAATAAAATTAATGAAAATAGAGAATTTTGAATTAAAAATAGAAAAACCTCAAAATTTGGATGATGAAAATTATGTTTATTTGGCAGGAGAGGAAATAAAGGTTATTTTTTATTATTAAAATTATAGTTAAATGAGAGAGAATGAGACCTTCACTCGGGTATTTCTTTTATTTAGGTACTTGACTATAATAAATACGATTTTTCCCGGTCCTATAAGGGGTCGAAACTTAATTATAAAAATTTCAGGGTAAAATAAATATATATAATAGAGAAAAGACGAGAATTGTTCGTCTCTCCCTTAGAACTGTCGGTTCAATTTATACCGGTTGGCAATATGCTAATGCTGAATATGAAAGTAAAGAAAATATTTTAGATATGTACAATGATTTAACTGGGTTTGTTTTAAAAGATATCTTGAATAAAATATTTTTAGAAATTTAACAAATTACTGTGATGAAACAATGGAATTAAATTGTGGAGAATATAATTTGGAATTTTCAGTTAAAGTAAATTGTTTAAATTCTCTAAAAAAGGGGGGGCCAAAAAAACCCAAAAAAAATCCTAAATTCATTAAAAGGTTCCAATGAATGCAATCTCAAGTTATTATGAAGAGGGTTATGGAAATGTAAAATATTCAATTGTGGCAACATTAGTGAGTTAAATAAAAATATTTGAGAAGAAAAAATTAAAATATTAAAAAGGATATTGTTGAGGATTGTGGGGAAAGTGAAATTGTATCAGGTTAATCCATAAACATTTTAATTTTAAAAATTTGTTTAAAAGAATCTGAATTTCTTGTAAGAAGTTTTCTAAGCCTAGATTCTCCCCACTTTTTAAACCCTGCACATTCTACAGAAGAAATTGTCACCGATCGAGTTTGTTTGTGTTTTGGGTATTTTTTCTACAAATTATTTAAAAAAATAATTTTTAAATAGAAATTCAAAAGAAAAAAGGAAAATAACAATTAAAAGCCCATCTTTAGGCCTTCTCCCAGGTAATTAAACTAAATTTTGTTTGAAAACATTTTTAAGGGGAAACCAGTAATTTAACCTTAATTGTGGAACAAACAGCAAGGAAATCAAACAAAAACAACCAAATAAAATGTAGGTAATATTTTAATTTTTTAAAATAAAAAACTAAAATTGTAGGGGTTAAACTGTCAATTTGTCAACAGGTTAGTAATTAATTATCTAGAATTTGGTATTACAGGGTTCCGATTCGTACTTTTTTAAAAGTATTGTACTTTTAAATCGACATTTTAACCTTAAAATTCCCAAAATTTTCGCCTGCGGCGCTTTAATTTGGAGTGTACTTTTTATTTGGAAATTTAGTCCCTAAGTACTTTTAAATCGAGATTTTTGTACTTTTGATTGGCAGTGTTGATCGGAACCCTGATGTACTATTTACATATTATATTACTTATGTTAGGTGGATTTTGTGGCATGTAGAAAAGATACTCCAAACACATGGGACAAAAGATCGGTGACAAGGGCTATACAGAACTATGTAAATATTAAAATTAACTATTAAAAAATAACCAATATTTTAAGAATAATTCAAATATAAATTGTCAAATATTGTCAGAATCAGAACAACAAATACAATTTCAAATTCCAAAAAATTTACCACCAACCTCGGCAAAAGAAAACGATTTAATAAATTTTAGTTACTTTTTCAGAATTGAAATAGAACAAAATCTTGATATTATTTTACCTATTGTCATTGGCTCATTTCGAACAATTCTGTAAAAATAAATAAATTTTAAATATAATAACGAGACAAAAATATTTTTATAATTAAATTAAAAAAAACAATTTTCCTTCACAAGAAAAGGAAATAAAAGAAAATATTTATTTAAATAAAAAAAACTTCGAAATACACAATTAAATAAATCATTAAACTTTAAGAGGGCCTTGGTTGTAAAATAGCGCTCGATGTTCTCGCATCAGGAAAAAGTTCGTGGTAGGATGTTACAGGGACATAATTTGCAGTAATCACTTTACCTGAAAATTAGAAAAAAATTAAATATTCTATTAATTATTTATTTATTTAGACGAGGGATTTTTTCTGGGGGGAGGGGGATTAATTTCCTATAAATAATTAATAAATTTCAATTAACCTGCGAACCAACGACCGTGTAGTGCAACCACAGACTTGTGTGCAATAGCTACAGTTGGGCATTTTACATAAACATTTCCTTGTTGGGAAGCTTTATCAACATATACATGAACACAACCTTTAAGAAAATGTTTTAAACGTTTTATAAAAATTATTAAAAAAACCTCCATGATTTCTACATTCTTCAACAACGTCATCACGAATATCTAAATCCCATCCTGGTTCTGTTTCTTTAGCTAAATCAAACATATTTGAGAGCATAAAACATTGAGTAGCAAAAGAAGGAATATTATCAGCATTTTGTTTATGTGCTTGTTGGGCAGCAATTGCTTCTTGAGTAACTTTGGGAACTTCAACATCTGAACGACCTTTTGCTAAATTCGCAATTAATTGTAATCGAGATGATGAATTTGTTTCATCAACTTGTACATTTTCTTGTTTGATTGAAACTGTTGGCTGTTCTTCTTGTTTAATAATTGTAGTTGAGGGCTCATTCTCTTCAACTGTTGAGACACGAATACTTCGGCCAGCAAGTTCGAATCCGTTTAATTGTTCCATAGCTCTTTTTCCTTCTTCGCCATGACGAAACTTAAGGAAAAAATTAGTAAATATCCGAACCTCACTATAAATATATGAGGGGAAAATGGAAAAATGTTGGGAGTTTATATTAAAGTTTTATGTTAAAATTTTAGTCGAAAATTATTAATGAAAAAACGCCGGAAATCAGATCTCCAAACAATCTCTAGCAACAGAGTAGGAAACTGCCTAGTCGAAATGGGGAGCTACATCTTATAGTGAGGTACGAATGTATTAGAAAAATAAAAATCATTACAATAACAAATCCAGTATTACACGTAATATCCGTTGGATCCTTTTGAACATAACAGCGATCAACCTGTCAAATAAATTTATAAAAACAATAAAATAAAAACCCTTCCAAATGGCTCGAAAATGGCGCCAAGCATTTCATCTGTTATATTTGGATGTAAATTGCCAACTCGAATTTTTATAGGACCCGTAGATAGTCCAAGACCAAGTCCTTAAAAAATAAAGTTAAAAATTATTTTAAAAATAATTTTACCTATAGTAGTTGCTGTAACATTAGTTGCCACCCTATTTCTCTCAGCCAAAGACATTTGGATTATCAATGGGGCACCATTGAGTTTTTGATTATTCAAACCCATCGCCTAAAAAACACAAGAATTCAAATATTCAGAATTAAAAATCAAACCAATGGAACAGCTTCACGCTCCCAAAACTCTACATATGCAATGCCTTTTGAACGTCTAGTTTTTGTATCAGTGATAATCCTAACATCTCGAACGTGCCCAACGCTTGAGAAAAACTCCTCCAAATCCCGAGGACGTGTTTGACGAGCAAGCTAAAAAATTTTTTATTAACTTAACCTTTCATTCCAATGCATGTCAAAGACCTGTAGAATGAAGATTGTACGTTCGTCTCGCTCCTCGGTTGTCAAGTCCATCTGTGCGTCTCGTGGCGGCGAGCGTCGCGGTTCGAAGGGCATGCTAAGTTGTGAAAGTCTGCGCGAAATTGTAGAATTAAAAATTTTAAACCCTAAATACTCACACATCGCGGCGCTCAGGTCCTGGTAGACGACGGGCAGGAATGGGAGAACGCCGCCTCACTCCCCATGGAGATCTTGATCGGCTGCGTCTCGGAGTTCGACTTCTTCTAGGAGTTCTGCTGCGCCTTGGTGTTCTACTTCTTCGTCGTCTGAAGCGATCGTAGGACCTAGAACGAGAACGGCGACGACGTTCGCGCGAACTGAAAAACATTATTAGAAAATAGAAAAATCTTAAAGTAAACGTTTCGAAAACGTCAAACAATTAAAGATTTTGTGATCGCCTTAATCTACCTGGAATTATATATTAAAAAATAAAAGGAGAGAACACTTTTATTTGAATTATACAAAAAAATAATTGTAGAATGAAAAGGATAGATTGGTTTCCTTTCAGCACATACCGCACCGTCATTCGCTCATTGTTCGAGCCATCAACAAAGAATGATGGAATAGTCAAGATCTAAGAGATATATATGCTAATAAGTGATTGTTCCCATAACTTATTTTATTACACAAGAAATAATTTAAAAAATTACCCCGATCGACGACGGATCCTTCTATCATCGTCAGATGGTGTACGCCTTCTCCGCTCCTTTGAAGATACTCTAAAAATAAACTCAATAATTACTGAAGTTATGAACTCAAAAGCAATCTGTATTAAGCAAAAAATAACCTTGTCTTTTTCTCACGACTCCTGCTTCGCCTGCGTTTTCGATCACGGCTTCCACTACGACTTCTGCTATGCTTACGTTTGGCATCCGGTCTATAATAGCTAACATTTTCAGTACTATTTATAAAAAAACATACACTTTGACTCCGACATCCTTCGCCTTCTTCATTATAACATCGCTCATGGTTTTGCCATTCTTTTCCGCCTTATATGGAAAAGTATGTTAAATTTAAGATGTAAAAAACCTCGTCTATGCTCTTGAAAGCCTCTTCTAAAAGATCATCAACGTCTTCTTCAGCCATTTTGGTTATCAACTATGTTAAATGAAAGAATCTTCTAATAAATTCGAATGAACAGAAAAGTAGTACAGAAAAATGATCTGAAAAAACCAAAACTCTAATATAAAAATACGAATCGATTAATGGGGTACGGCCCACCTTGTCGCGGGCCACCTTGTCGCGACCACCTTGTCGCGACCACTTTGTCGCAGGCCATCTTGTCGCAGGCCCACCTTGTCGCGGGCCACTTTGTCGCAAGCTTTCCTTTGGTTTTTCTTTTAAGGTTGGCCCAAACTTTGCTCGCCATGTGCCATACTTCATGCCACGGCTACAACGATGGGAAAATTAGAAAGGTTTGGAATTTTTATCTTGTTTTTTAAGTTTTTTTTTCAATTTTTTAGTTGATTTCCGTCAGTTTCTGACTGGCGATTTTCAATTTCGAAGTTTCTGAAGGAACGAAGATGTTTAAATTAGAGAACATTGACAAGAAAAACAAACCCAAACTGCCCTGCTTAGGGTCACAAATTTAATTAGTGAAGCGCGACAATGGCTTTTTTAAAAATTTTTTGATTAAGTTTTTGAGTGTTTTTTCCCTTTTATTATTTTCTCTTATCCGGGTAAATTCTTCCGGAGGTTTTGACAGAGTAAAACCGAACCAGATTACTCCAGAAAACCCCGATCGTGCCCAGAATGCCTTTTTCCTACTCTCCATATCAGCAAAAAAATTTTCACCCCTTGCGACAAGGTGGGCCTGCGACAAGGTGGGCCTGCGACAAGGTGGCCTGCGACAAAGTGGTCGCGACAAGGTGGTCGCGACAAGGTGGCCCGCGACAAGGAGGGCGTGTCCCCGATTAATGAACTCCAAGAAACGTGTTAGGGTCATTTGAGTTTTGCTTGATGGCTATAACTATTTTATGTTTGATCATCCATTCTAGAGCCCTCGATAAGCTGTAGCTTTTTTCTAACTGGATAGATCAAGTTCAACTACTCATTAAAAAGTCACCTCAACAAGGTGATCTTTAAATCAAGGGCTTTAGAATGATATAAGTTCAAAGTTAAAGCCAGTCAAAGCTAGCTAACATTCATTCCACAAAAAAACTCCAAAAAATACATTTCGAGTTTTCCGTTTCGGTAAATGTTAATTGTAGAACAAAAATAGTGGAAAGTATTTCCAAATTGTTAAAAAGTATATTAAGAATTACTAACAAATACATATGCGAATAAGTATTAAATGTCTCAAATCATTTTATCTCAATTTTAAACACAAATCGATCTCACTGTAAAATACCCTCAGAATTGGCTTCGATTTTTCAGACCCAAGGATATATCTTATAGTGAGATCTGACTCAATAAATTTAAGTAAAAATATGTACAAGCAGAATAATACATATAACTAGATATTCAAGTATATTTTGATATACAAAAAATAAATTTTAATTACGATGTAAATATTGACTTGGTAATATAGGTGGAGCATTCATAAAAGGATCGTCACCCATTCTTTTCTCTATTGTTTCCCAATCCCGATCAACTTGTTTAGAAAGATTTGAAAAGTTATTTCTTGATGAAGTGCCACATTCTGTTACAAAATCGTTGGATATTCTTTCACAGTATTTGTTTGTTTCTAAATTTTTGACATGAAAATTTATTTCAAAAATAATCCCATGTCAGATTTTCATGTGAAGCCCCCTCCCCTAAAAGGAAAAAGAACAAGAATCTAAAATTAATAAAAATAAATCATCATGGTTTTAGGTGGTGGCACAGTCGAAATGCTATGGTTTGGTCCCTTTCTACGTTTTCCCTTTCCATCCCTTATTCAATTAACTTTCCGTAAGATAAAAAAACATTGGATAGGAAAAAGTTAAAAAAAATATACCAAAAATTAAGTTATCCTCCTCTTGAAAATTAACACGATCTCTTCTAATAGCATCAAAATGCTCACCAAAAATTTTGTCATCCATATTATTAAAATCAGACGAAGAAGAACATTGTTGTGCAAAAGGATTTGATACTTCAAATATTCTTGCAGTATTTTCTGTTATTTTAAAAGAATTATTATTCTTTTTTTCTTCTTGTGCTAGAGAATAAGGTTGAAAAGCGCTCAAATGTAATGTTAAATCTTCTTCATCTCCAGTTTGTTGTTCAACCATTTGTGATGTGCTTGATGATTCCCCTTTAATATTCCCACTAATTTGTTTACTTTTGTTGACAAAAGAATCAACTTCAGTTAAATTTGTTGTTTTTTGATTTGGGGTTGAGAAGGCTTGATTAGGTTTTGGTCTTAAACGAGGATTTACAGATGTTGTAGCAGACCTTGGATGCATTTCACCAATTTCTTTTGTTGTTGTGTTTACAATAACACCTTCTGCAAGTTTTGATGAAATTGATGGAGTTGGATGGGTTATTTCGTTGCTTGTTGAAGGAATGTTTGTTTGATTTTCTTCTTTAGAAACTGGTTGATTAGGCATTGTGTGCCGTCTCTTCTGTGCTTCAAAATCATTTATAGCCTTTTCAAATAGACGAGAATAATTTGAGCCAAGTTTATCACGAAGGTGCAAAATTTGTATGGCTTCATTTAATTCGATTCTTGCGCATTTCTATAAAGGAATTTTTAATTAAATATATTTTCTTAATATATCAAAGTAAACCTCAACATTGAATACTGGACATTTCTTTCCTGCTGCAGAAAAAGCTAAATACGACATTTGATAAATATTTGGCCTGTGTTTTGCACTCATTGTGAGCATGAGATCTGAAAAATAACAAAAATATAGTTTTAAGTTTACAAGATTTTTAAAGACATCTTTTTAAGGAATCGAAAATAAAAGTAAATTCCTTTATCTTTAAAGGAATTTAAATTGAAAAGTCTATTTCAAACTCTATTCCTTACAATGTCAAAACTAAAAACCTAAAACCTTTGGAAATATAAAATATTAGAAAAATTGCTCTATAAATATAATTCAAACTAACTTATCATTGCCTTAATTCCATCCTGTATTTGTGGCACTTCTGGGAAAGAAAACAATCCTCCTTGTATTGCTAAAGCTGATTCTCCAAAAGGTAGAGAAAAATAACATAATTTGTAAAGCATAATTCCAAGGGCCCAAATATCACTTTTTGTATCTTAAAACCCAAAAATAAAATATGTCTATAATGAAAAAATACCTATAGAAGTTCCAGAAAATAAATCAATCATTTCAGGGGCACGATAACTAAGAGTTGTATAACGTTGAATTTCTTCTTCCATAAATGCATGAGAATAGTGTTCTTTACTCAAAACTTTTGTTGTCGCACTTCCAAAATCACAGAGAATATAAATTGGACGCTCTTTGCTGGAGCCTCGATCGATTAGAACATTCTCTACCTAATTTTGAATTTAATACGAGAATAAATTTAAAAGCTGGAGTGATATATATGGAATGTTAGCTAGCCTTTAGTAGGAAATTTAAATTAATTTATCAACACAGTTAAACTCCGTTAAATTTTAGAACCTTGATAAGAAATATTATAAATATAACCTTGAGATCACGATGAATGACCGGTGTTTTTGAATGATGAAGCCGGGCTAAAATCAATATATAAACAAAAAAATGTAAAAATAAATATACCAACTGCTTCACAAATATCACAAAAAATATCCAAAATTTCATTATGAGAAAGCCATTTATTGACTAAAATTCGAGAATTCATTAGTTGTAGAACATTATCTGAAAAAGTTAGTGTTCAATTAATAACATTCAATTTTGAAATAGGAAAAAAACCTGGATAGTAAGTAGTCAACAACATGTAATCATATACTCCTGTTTTCCCAAGCACAAGTTGATGGTCGACATACTCAATTATATTCTTATGACCACTCAAGTTTTTCTAGAAAGATTAAAAATTTTTTTAATGTAACCGAGAGTCCCATCATTGGATGATAATTCCCTAAATGTCTTTAAAATTCTCCAACTGTAACAAGAGAATGAAAACATTTAACACTGAAAAACCAGAAGAGGATCAACCAAAGATCAGATTATGGGTGGAACCTCATTGGATAAACCCTTGAGCACCAAATTAAGAGGTTATAATTTAAAAAAACATACAACAATTTGGCTCTCTGTTCTGCTAGCTTCAACTTGTCTTTGATCGTCTCTAATTAATTGCCGTTTTAGTGCATAACTTCGATTGTGCTTGTCCACTACCAAATAAACAATAGCAAATCCACCTTAAAATTAATAGGTAATTTGAAAACAAACAAAAAACCTTCGGCAAGTTTCCTTTCCACGGTGTATGTTTTCTTATTCAATTTGACTACGGAACCTTTTGTATCTTTAATTTCACTCGGTGTATTACTAGAGCTTCCCACATTTTTTTCCTTCTTCAAAATTGATTCTTCACTTGTCAAAGGTTGAGGCTTCGGTCCACCATCTTTGCTACTGCCTCCAAATATTCCTAATGGCATTTAATTTAGAAATCTATCTAAATAAAATTATTTTAAATATTAGAAAAAACATTACAACTAAAAGGTTTGAACCTTCAACATAAAAGTAAATGACTAAACAGAAACTTTCTCACTTAACCAAGAAAATTTAATTTTTATCTATAAGAGAAATAGTACGGGGATAATCTGTCATTTATCAAAACATTATGACAAATATTTAAGAAATTTTAAAAAAATTTTGAAGAAATACCAACAGTAAAAAACACTAACCCTTAATCCTCACAATCAATCAAATGTTTTAAAATATTAAAAAAATTTATTATAACAAGAAATAAAAAAATAAAACAAAAAATTATCAGGAATCATCATCTATTTTCCTCTTTTTTGATTGCTTATTGCTAGGTGTTGTAATAATTAAATTGCTATCTTCTTTTAAAAGACAACAATTTAATTGTACTTTTGCATATATTTTTTTGAATATTTGTTTTGTATCCAAATTATGTAAAATCACAAATCTATCAACACCGCAGGAGATGAATTGTGGATGGTTATCAGAAGCGTCAATTGATTTTATAGAACCAGAAAATCCTTTGTATTTTGATACTAATCGACCTTTAAAAAAGAAGGAAGATATATGTGGATTCATTAATAAGATACTCCTTTTGGGTCAAAAATGGCTATCCAATTTTTAATTTCAAAATAAGCTTCAAAATGGGCTAATTTTAAAGAAACGAACATCAAACGCGGCCTAACATGTTATCGGTCAACTTTATTAGTGTTTTGGCATTATTCGTTACCATAATCATTATTTGATAAATAGTTTATTGGTAATTATTAGCTTGTTTTATAAAAATAAATCCTCCCCTTTACTGACTTTCTATGCTTAATTAAGTGGAATTATTTTCAAAAGTAATGTCAAGCCACGTTAAGAAGTTGTATCCTAAATAAGGAGAATCGCTTAGGCAATTACACAGTGGAACTAACAATAAATTCTTAAATAGCATTTAAATTTGAGGTGTATCTATTAGTATTGGGTATATCCTTATAATCCAACTGTATAAAATATCCTTACTTTTAGAAGATAAACGAAAATCAAAAAGACCCAATTCTCCACGGCTATTTCCAGCTAAAAGATGATGTTCTCGACAACAAGTAGACAAAGCATTTATTGGCTCTTCTAACCAAGTTTCCTGAAGTACTGGACGACGTTGAGCACGAATATCATAGAGACGAATCTCAAAATATTTTTTTAACGTAAAAAAAAATTAAATTAAAAACCTGAGCATGCCCTGTACTTGTAGCCAAACAATTACTACTTTCGTCCATAAATCGGCAATTTTTAATCCAAATGGGAACTCTTAATTCTAAATTGTCTGGCCTTACCTTAAAAAATAATTGGGAAATTATGCCTTTCTGTCCTTTTATAAACAAGTAAATCCTTACATTTTTAGCAGTAAAAACACATTTTTGATCTTCAAAATTCCAAACTTTTAATTCATTTTCTTTTCCTCCAGTAGCAAAAACTGTTGGTGAATCCCCCCGTGCCAACCTCATTGTAATTAAATTATCACCAGCATTCCATTTATTTAAACATTCCCCGGAAGTATTCCAAATTGAGAGATTACCAGAATTTGTAGCAGTTAAAATTTTGTTACTAAAAAGAATATTTTTAAAAATAATAGGGACAATTTAAAGAAAAGTGACTTTTAAAAAGTGATTTTTAAAAAGTGACTTTCTTTGCAGTTTTATTGCTAGATCTTAATCATAGAATTCAATTTCAGGTTCAACATTTATCTCAGATTTAACGAAAAGAGCATCGCCAAAGGGGTTCATCCATAACCTTATCCCATCATAACTATTCCCAGATTTTAAAAAAATATTAAAAAAAGAACCTTTTAATCAAACATTCAACTCCACAGATAGAATCAATAGAACTACTTTCATTTTCTTCATTATCATTTACATTAAACAGTTGATTAATTGACTCACTTAAAGTATTAAATAAATCAATTTGACCATTTTTTCTTCCAATAAGCACTTCGCTCTTAAAAAGTATTTTTAAAAATTAATTTAATTAGATTTAGTCATTCGATATAAAGCTGCGTAACAATAACTGACATAGTTGAAAATTTGACACCTTTTTTACTCAATCGACACGTGTTATCTATTCATTTTTACTACTTAAAATTCTAAAAAGTAAAACTAACCTTTTCTTTGTCTGCAAAATTCATTGCTGTAATTGCTTTTCCCTTTATAGAATCATCTTTTTCATGTTGAGGTCGAAAATTAACGAAAGTTGAATTGGCAAATCTCAGGCCTTTGGAAAATATTTAAAAATATTCTAAATTTAAGAAAAAACCTTTCAGAACACCAGAATTTGCACCAGCCAAAGCATCAATTCCCACCAACATTTTTACTCTAAAAATTTTTTTAATAAAAACATCCGACATTTACAAAAAATATCCAATTAAAGGTTATCAGGCAAAGTATTACATAAATGGTAACCCTTCTACCCAAATCAAAACTTTCATCGGGTAACCCCAAATGTCAAAATCACCAAAAAAATAAAATTAAAAAAAACCTTTCAAAATTAATTAATTCCGTAGCACTCAAATTCTCAACAAAATTAAATTCAATTAAATTCCTTTGGTTTGTCTCTTCTCTTCTTAAAAAATTCCCTTCTCTAGTAAAATTTGAAACAGACGTTGACAGTTCGTTTTTTAAAAGTTGGTCAATATTTGGCCTCTTTTTCATAAATTAAAAAAAAAAAGAATTTTTTAAATAAATAAAAGTAAAAATAATTTTTATTGTTTTTTAACAAAATAGTTCTTTTAAATATAATTTAAATTTAAAATAAATTTATTCAAGTCCTTCTACTCTTTCTAATTCCAATTCACTCCTTCTATTTGCTTCTCCTTCAATTTCATTAAATATTAATGCCAAATCTCTATTATATAATTTTTTATTTGATTCTTTATTTATTGACTCGAATAAATTAAAATTAATAATTGGAGGTAAACTGAAAAAATTTAAATTCAATTTTAAAATTAAAATGTTAAGGGATTAAAAAGAGGGGGAAATAAAAGGAAAGCAACCCCCCTCCCATTAAAGCTAATTTCAACTAATAACTTTGTTTTTTAACAAATCTTAAACCTTATCTACAATTAAATATTTTAAATTCTGTTCAATTGTATTCTCCCTTCCCTTACACAATAATTTCCAATTCCAAAAATTTTCAATCATTTAAAAAAATAAAAACAAACCGCTGTTTAGAACTTTTATAAAAATAATTCCCCAATTTTTGATAAATATTAGCCAAAATAATTATTTGTTTATTTGCTTCTTTAGCAACATCAGAAATAATTGCAATTAACATTAAATTGAAAGTTAACTTGAAATTTTTTAAGAAAATTTTTAAATTAAAAAAATACAAAAAATCCCAATTCAACATATCCCATAGAACAATCAACAGAATTCGCACAAATTAAACGTAATTTATCCAATTTAAACATTCTCTTTAATAAAATAGCTCCAAAAAAGCAAATTGTTTGTTTTAATGGTGAATAAATAAATTGACTATTTTTTAGTTTCTAAATGAAAAAAGGAAAATTTAAAAAATAAAAATATTTTTTTGGAAAATTAACTACAAAATTCTCATTTCTGAAGGGGACTAGTCTAAACAAAATTAATTTATAACCTTTAGGTTTCTACACAAATAATAACCAAAGGCGCCCTAATTATTCTCTGTTAGATACTACAACCACTAAATAGCCAACAGTCTCACCCCCCCCTACCCAACAGGCTGGACGCAATTTAAAAAAATTCTCCGCAGCCGCAATACGCGTCAAAAAAAACACGCAATCCGCAATTGCGTCCAGCCCTATTCCCCAACCCCTCCCTCCTTCTCCCTCCCCCAGAATTTAAACAAAACAAAACCTCATTAAATTTGTCAAAATAACACAAAATATCTTCATTTAATAACCTCTTCAATTCTCTATATATTTTCAAAGAAATTTTCCAAAATTTTTGGTGTTTATTTGAATTACCAAATTTGTAAATTAAAGCTTCAAATAAAAAATAATTTGAAAGAAAAGCATTTTTATTTTCTTTTTGTTTCATTTCTTCAATTATCCCGTCAAAATCTTTGGAAAGATTTTTGTTAAAATTTATTGAAGATTTTTTTATTTTTGAAGAAAACATTTTTTGAGGGCCAGTAGAAGACCATAAATCAACTAATTCTGAAATTAAAAAATAATTTTAAATTTATATAATTATTTCAATACCTCCAAATTTTTGCCGTTTTTCTAATTTATTTAAACGATTTTTCATCTAAAAATATTTAAAAAATTAAAAGCTAAATTTTGAGATGAAAAATATTTTTTGTAGGAATATTAACGTAATCGAATTTCTGCAAAACTAACCAAATAATTTTCAAATGTGCCCCAAATTTTCTTTAATATTCAATTATATAGCCGGACCTCCCTATAAAACTAGATCCTTCATCAAATTCTATTTACGTTTTTTAAGCCAATGGACTACATAATTAAAATACTCCCTCTACCTAGTTAAATAATTTTTTCATACCCAAGGGTGTAAATATCTTATAATGAGGGTCTTAATGTAATAAAATGAAAAAATGGTTTATGTAAAACCCAATAATAAACACAAAAAAACAAACAAATCCGTTTTGTCCCTTTTATTCATTCTCGTAAAAAATTTCATCAAAAACGCGAAGATGTCTTAAATTAGATAGTGCATTAAAATTAAGGAACATAAATTTTATTTATTTTTTATTTCCATGTATATCCAAATTATTCAAAAATAATATTTTAACTTTTTTATGTTCCTTAAATCTTATTTTAAGGCACAAATATGCACGAAAATGATGAAAAATAAATAAATCAATAAATTCTTTAATAGAAGCACTTTTTATTTAATAAAAGGTATAACCTCTCCTTTGGAGAGAATTTTAGAAGAAAAGTGCTTCGATTGAGAGAATAAAAGTAAAGAAATATCAAGCTTTTTTAAAATTCTTCTAAATTTAATTTAAAAAAAGATTGATTTTTTCTACTAAAAATGAGACAAAACGGAAATTTACTTTTGTTCAAATTTTGAAATTTTAAACTAAAAAATCACCAAAAATTCTTTTCTAAATTTTTTAGTCAGCAGAAAAAAATCCGAAAATTTTTTTCCGTTCTTTCCCAAGCCTACAAACTTTGAAGACTTGAAGAAAAATAATTAACAAAAAAAATTGTGATAGGTCAGAGGAATAATGAGAGAGAGATGCAGCAACATCTTGAAAATGTTGGATAATTTAAAAAATACATTGTAAATTATATACAAATGAGCAGTGAAATTGATAACAATTTTTTATTTTTTTTTTGATTTTAATTTTTAATTTTACATTTAATTTTTCTAAAAAAATACCTAGGTAAAAGTTTAGAACAAATAATTTAAATTGCTCTATTTAAATTTTCCTTAATTTTGTGGGATTTAAAAAACTAAATACAGTCGTGGAAAAAAGTATGGAAGCGCTAGAAAATTTTTTCTTAATTCTTAATTTTTCATTCAAAAAATACGTTCTATATATCAATCGAAAGCTCTATTCGTATCTCAGTTGACATGTTTCTGCATTTTTCATTAAAATGAAAATTGGCCGAGATAATCCGGATCTACCGGATATACCAAATCCCACTTTTTCGGAAAAATTTTTCGGAACAAATTTAACAAACCCAAATGATAAAGCATATTTTTCTGAGTATTTTCCACAAAACCGCTTAGAAATATCTTTTTCCGGAACAGAGATATAATTTTTTGAAAATCGTATTTTTGGTCATTTTTTGCAAAAAATTCGATTTTTAAGGGAAAAATACGATTTTCAAAAAATTATATCTCTGTTCCGGAAAAAGATATTTCTAAGCGGTTTTGTGGAAAATACTCAGAAAAATATGCTTTATCATTTGGGTTTGTTAAATTTGTTCCGAAAAATTTTTCCGAAAAAGTGGGATTTGGTATATCCGGTAGATCCGGATTATCTCGGCCAATTTTCATTTTAATGAAAAATGCAGAAACATGTCAACTGAGATACGAATAGAGCTTTCGATTGATATATAGAACGTATTTTTTGAATGAAAAATTAAGAATTAAGAAAAAATTTTCTAGCGCTTCCATACTTTTTTCCACGACCGTAAATTTAAGAGAGTCAAATTTGATAAAAAATAATTTGTTGATTTTAATGTGAAAATGTCCGAAAAATGGTAGATTGATTTAAATTTTCAATTCAAAACAATTTTTAATATTTTTTAAAAAATCAACCAATTATAAAAATATATAAAATGGAACTTTTTTGCTTTTCAAAAGCAATTTATGGAAAACAGTAGAAAAATATTTTTAAATTTCTCGGACAAAGTACTTCAATCGAATAATATTCAGCAATCGAAATTATTCATAAAGCAGTGTTCACCCGGTTTAAAAAAATAGAAAAGGGCCTGCAATTGCAGTCAATGTCGGTTCAAAAACAGTTTCTGAAACCGGGAGAACACTGCTTTAAAGTACTTTACTGTCCAAGAAAAACTACTTATTCTGAAATGATGTTAAAATACCCGCATTAATGGAAAGAATGCAGTGTTTTATATATACTCAGTTCTCGTTGTTTTTTTGTTACGAATATTAGCCATAATTATTTGAAATTTTGTGTACAGAAATTATTTGACTGAATGATTCTTAAAAGCAAATTTTAAAAGTTTCAACAAAAAATTGACAAAAATCTTTTAATTAAAAAAATCAAATAATTGAGGCTTTTATATTTCTCAACGAGATGATGAAAAATTCCTCAAAATTTTTCGCTTTTACAATCAACGAAACATTTATTCGTGATCATATTAATTTACTAACATAAACAAATGAAAAATCTCTCTTAATAATAATATAATAGTGGCTTGATTGAGATGAGGAACACAATACTTTCTCATTTAAATATAATTTCATGTAAAGAATAAAACAACTAGGCTTGTCATAAGTAAGTTCTTTTAAAAAATTTCAAATATTTTTTATTTATCAATTAATTTCATTTCCATATCAGTCAGCGACAAACCGAGTTGTAATATTATTTACCACAATTCACTGAAAAGACAATAAATTTGACAAAAAATAAACAGTTAAATTCTACTAAAAAATTTGGATACTTTTCAGTCTTTTAAGTGAACTATGTCAATTGTTTTAATATTAAAAAAACTCATTCCATCTGATGCTCTGCCACATAAAGTTTAGGGTCAACTTCTTTGGGGATAGGTTCAATGTGAGTCCTCAATTCCTTCTCAATGCGCTTGAGATTGTAACGATCCTCATAAGTAATGAGGTTGATTGCGATTCCAAGATGTCCAAATCGGCCAGAACTGAAAAATAAATTAAGGTTTAAAAAGATTCTTATTTCAGTTGTCGAAAAATTAATAAATCAAACCGTCCAATTCTGTGAAGATAAGTCTCAGAGTTGCGAGGAAAATCAAAATTAATCACAACATTGACTGCTTGGATGTCAATTCCACGCGTTAACAGATCCGAACAAACCAAATTTCTGCAATGCCCTTGACGAAACTCATGAAAAACTCTGTTTCGATGTTGTTGTGCCATCTTAGAGTGAATATAATAGCAAGAATAACCAAGTTCAGTTATCTTCTTTGCAAGTAATTCTACACGTTGAGTCGAATTGCAGAAAATGATTGATTGATTAATTTGAAGCTAAAAATTTAATATTCAACAAGAAAGTTATGTAAACAAAAACCTTTCGAAAAAGAGTATTCAAACAATGAACTTTTTGCTTCTCTTGAACATAAGCATAAAATTGAGTGATTCCAAGCAAAGTCAATTCCTCCATTAAATTAATCTCATAAGGCCTCTGCATATGCTTTTCCATAAAAGATTCAACAGTTCGCGGAAAAGTTGCAGAATAAAGCATAATTTGACGGTCAGCAGGCATAAAATGCACAAGACGATCAAGAACACCTTGGAAATCTTGTGACAGAAGTTTATCAGCCTAAAATTTAGCAAAAGTTAAATAAAAATCCAAAAAGAAATACCTCATCAAGAACAATAGTCTTACAACGAGTAACATTCGCAACACCCTTCTCCATCAAATCAAGAATTCTTCCCGGAGTGGCAACAACTAAGTGAACAACTCCATTCAAGCGCAAAATGTCATCACGAAGATCAGTACCACCAGTTGTAACCATCACCTAAGAATATTTCTGCTCAAAAATGAAAACTTAAACAACCTTAATCTTAAGATGTTTGCTCAACTCAACACAGATTTGTGAAGTTTGCAAGGCCAATTCACGAGTTGGAACAACAACCATAGCTTGTATATATTCCCTCGAAGGATCAATTTTCTCAATACAAGGGATACAATACGCCCCTGTTTTACCCGTTCCATTCTTAGCTCGAGCTAAAACGTCTTGCCCTAAAAATAAAAGGAATAAAATAATCAAAGAAAAAAAAGAAAACCTGAGAGAGCTATTGCAATAGAAGCTTCCTGAATGGGACTCGGCTTCTCCCATCCCTTCTCAAAAATTCCTTTCAAAAGATCGCGTGACAAACCAAATTCCTCAAACTCGATACCTTTAGTCGCTGTTACATCCTTAAATTGTTAGATTTAATATGCGCAAAGCTTTTGGGAAGGACAACTCACAGCAGTCTTAAAACGAAGGTCTTTAGTAGGTAGATTAAGTTCTGCTTTCCAGTCATCCATAGATAATGCTGGGGAAACGGCAGTTGACATTTAAAATTTTTAAAATATTCTTTATCTGAAATAACTTTTTAAAAATTAAAGCTAAATGGATTTAATTTATACATGAGATATCTAACTTATTGAGAATCCCTATAAGCAAACAAATTTAGGTATATTATTTAAGCAACTAAACGCAACGTAACCAAATCAGGATCACTAAAAAATAGTTTAAAGTGGGACACGCCCGAAACGGCGCGGGCCAAAACGACGCGACCGAAACGGCGCGACCGAAACGACGCAGGCCAAAACGGCGCAAGTCCAAAACGGCGCACGGCCAAAACGGCGCAAAAATTTCCAATAATGGCTATTGTTACAAGATGGACAAATAAAGCTCGAATGGTGATCATATCTTTTGGAACAATAAATGACAAATGTAAGGTCGCATTTGGACAACATCTCGTGATAACAAAGAGTGATAACAAAAACTAAGTAACAAAACTATTTAGATCATATACGTACTAGTAAGTATAACTGCGAGAAATAACTGCGAGATTCAGATAGTTCCAATATAACTATATTTACTCGTTAGTTTCCCCTATAACTACATATATTACTAGTTAGTTCCCCCTAGAACTATATAGTTATCCCCATATTACTACTGTAACCATCTAGACTTTAGTTATTTTTATTCTGGTCGTTGATGTCGGAACAGCCTTCATCGTTGTTGTAACAACTTTTCTCAGTCTGAACGATCTTCCACATTGTTGAAACAATTTTCCCGCAATGCGCAAAACCTTATTGCAGAATTTTAATAATTTGAAGGATCAAAGTACGCAAGGGTGGATATCGATTTTTGATCGATCAGCAAGGTCAGATCGATCACAAATAGGCTGATCACTAGATGACAACACGTTAATAACTCTATCACTGCAGTTTTGGGTTTGCGCCGTTTTTGGCCGTGCGCCGTTTTGGCCTTGCGCCGTTTCGGCCTGCGTCGTTTCGGTCGCGCCGTTTCGGTCGCGCCGTTTTGGCCCGCGCCGTAATGGGCTGTACCCGTTTAAAGTCATTCACTTTGCTCTCCCACTTCGCCACATCTCTTTTTCGGCGCAAACAAAACGTCGCAGGCTGAAACGGCGCAACGCCAAAAAGGCGCAAACTGTCAGAACATCCCCCGTCATCGGGACAACCTTCCCCGTTGTTGGAACAACACTTGTTAATGTTGGAAAAATCCTCTTCTTTGTTGGACATTTCCCGTTGCGCGCAAAACCTTATTTGAAGGTTTAATTATTAAGTCAAGGATCCGTATACCAAAAGGGTGGTTAGTGATTCTTGATCGATCACTAAGGCCTGATCGATCACAAACAGGATGATCACTCGAGATCAATTGATCACTCTCACGGTTGATCATTTGATGACAACACGATTATCACTTTGTGCAGTTTTAGGTTTGCGCTGTTTTGGCCCGCGTCGTTTTGGTTTTGGGCTTGTACCCTTTTTCTTTGGACTCTAATAAACAAAAGTAAAAATTACACAATATTAAAGACCAAAATGTCAATAAGGGCAGATATGGACAAAAAGCATTTAGATGACATTCGTTTAAAAACAAAAAATAATAGGATTCAATACCTCATTAAAGAGATAGCAGATTATATTACAATACATGACAAAATACCTTTATTTTTATTCAAATAAAATTACACACAAAAAATAAAATTGTTTTAATTCATCATTCTCTTTAAAATTTTGTCCAACACATTGTGTTGATCATCGGTCTATAAAAATATTAAAATTATCATTTATTTTATAAATACAAACCTCGTCTAAAATACCCCCTTTTGAACTAAAAATTTTTATCTTATAATGGAAAGCATCTTAAAATAATTGGTATCTTGCCTAATCATTTCACCAATAAATTCCAAAAATTAAATGAATATTTAATTTTGGGGGTATTTGAAAATGAGGTCTAAATATATTCAAACCTTCTTTTTCAACATTTTAAGATCATTTAATCGACTTCTAATTATTTCATCAAAACGTTCCGTTGTCAAAACAAATTTTCGATCCATTTCCTCATTTTTTGACATATTTTCACGAATATTTTCCTTTATTTTAAAAAGACGATTGGAAAGCTCCTTTTCATCACTTTAAAAAAAATTTTAGAAAATAAAATAGAGTTCAAAAAACCTTTGCAAATTTTTAATTTTTTGATTAATTGCTTCCACTTCGATCCGTGTAGCCAGAATTTTTTCTTTAATGTTTGTGCGTTCTTCAACAGCTCCTTTATTGATATGCTCCAATTTATTACGCATCTCATTCTTTTCTTTCTCGAGATTATTAACTTCCTGAAGAATAATTTTAAAAAAAAGTTTTTCAATTTTTTGTAGGATTATTCGTTCCTTTTACACTTCCATTTATTCTCAGGTTTTAGTGGTTTATTCTGGATTCCAGATCTAAAGAAAGTAGGAAAGAAAAAGGAAAGTACTTTACCGAATCCAAGAGTTTTAAAACACAAGAAAAATGAAAAGGATAGACCCTAATCAGGATACTAGGTCAGGGTGATCCCTCAAAAATTTTACTTGAATTATTTTATCTTCATTTCCTCTCATTTCAGGCATTTTTCGTTTAAATTCTTCCAACTTTTCCAAATCCTCTCCAAGAGCATCAATTCGTTGCCCCATTGCGAGTATTTCAGCCACTTCATATTCAGTTTTTCGCTTAGTTTTTCTGAAAATTAAATATTTTTAATTACTCTTCGATTAACATTTGAGAACAAGATTAAACCCTATTGAAATTCAACTAACCACCCACTTACGCGTTGCCACGTATCACTGCTTACTCATCAGTTTCATAAAACATTTTTTGGATATCCCGAATATCGCCCGAAAGTGCCGCTTTACCATTATAATAATGATATAATTAAAAATAAAAACTAACTGGGTATCCTCCAACTTCTTTTCCACATCTAATCGATTTTTTTCCAATTTTTTCAATTCTTCAATAAGAAGTTCTGGTGAAGTAACAATGTTCAAATCCAATCTTTTAAGCGTATCTTCTATTTGAAAACCTTTTCCTTTGTACGTTTCCTTAAGAAAAAAATTTCTTTTAAAATTAATTTAAAAATAAACAATTTCGGCTTCCAACTCCTTTAAACGCTTTTGAACTTCTTCACACTTCTTTTTTTCTGTAGCAATTAATGCCCTTTTTGTCATCAATTCTTGTTGAGTTTTCAGATCCTGGCTTTCTATTAAATGTTTTTCTTCTTCAAGAGCATTCAATCGTTTCTTTTCATTATTTATATCCTTTGAAATTAAAATTTAAATAAATTTTATTTTTCTCAATTTACCGCTTCTGTTTTCGAAGCAAAATCCTTTTCAAGCTTGTAAGTACGACATTGAGCTTCCTATAAAGTTTGAAATATTTTAAATAATTTTTAATATTAGGGGCCTATTTTATTTCATTCCTACAAAATCAATCAAAACAGATTAATTTTGAGGTGGTTGTCCGGCCTCCAATCTGATTTTATAATAAAATTATTTTAATAAAACTAACAAGTTCATTTTCAATATTCACAACTTCTGTTGACATTTCACATTTAAAACAGTAGAAACGAATTAAAGTGACCAGAAAATGCCTGGTTCTGCGTGGATCAGGTTGGAGTAAATCTGTATAGCAAAATTCATCATTCCCATTGAAAATACTTTCGAAAACCAAATTTCTAAAAGGAAAGGAATTTAAATAAAAATATAACTAAAGTTCTCTTACACAGATTCTCTAGTTTTAATTACTAAATTTGGTCGAGCTAATACTTGGTCAACATTATTGTCTGCCATTTCACAATTCATATTTTCAAGTACAAGTCCACATAAATAGTTATAAGCTTGTATTAATTGATCGGTCTAGAAGAGTATTTTAAATTAAAAATAATTTTAGAAAAAACCTGAGGATTATCAAGTGATTCACGTGTAAGCTGAAGTTGAGGAACATGGCTGTGAAAAAATTCAAGTATCATACGCACATCTCCCATTTTAATTTTTGATAAATATCTGAAAAAATCTAAGTAAGTTAAAGTAAAAATGTAGAGAAAAACCAAGCCAATAAAAAATTTTTAATTTAAAATTAATGCTTAAAAACACAATGCCAAAAATAGGAACAGACATTTCGACGCGATCAGTTAGTCGCAAGAGGATGGCTTCTGCTCCCCAATTCGTTCCACCCAGGTTCGTCCCAGTGTTCAACGGTTTACGGAATTTTGGTCACTGGAAGTTTGGTCTCCAAGATTATTCGGAACTTTGGTCACCAAGTCGAAAGTATTTCTTCGAATTTTATTTATTTCAAGAGTTAAAAACTTCCTCATATTTTATACCTCGTTTAGAATTTAATTTTCACGTTAATATGTACTTATAATAATTTAATTTTATTGTTTAGGAAATGAATTCGTCTGATTTTCGTATATTAAGTCAAAGTGTTCAAATATCTCAAATTAATTTTGAAAAACAATCATTTCGTGTTTCAACAGAAATTGCTTTTATTCCTCTCAAATCAAATTTATCTAATATAATTCTCAACATCGGCAGAGGTTTTTTTAGAAAAATATTTTTAATTTAAATTCATTTTTTAGATTGTATTTTGCCAAATGAAGCACGTTTTGAGGGATTTGGAAAAGTGACAATTGACGATTTTGATGCAATTTATACTCGAAATATTTTTAATTTGGTCTGTTTTAGATTATAAAACAATTTCCTAATCCTAATGTTTTATTTTTTAATAATTTTTTTTTTCAGAATTTTTCAACTGATCAATCAAATTATTCTATTCAATCATGCAAAAAAGCTTTTATTGAAGCAATAGATTCGCATCTAGGCGATTTAATAATTAAAATTCCTGATCAGTGCATTAATTATGTTCAAACTCACAAAGTTATGAAACTCGCTATGGATTTGATTGTTTTCAAACCTCGAAATGTAAGGTTGGATTTTATTTATAATTGGGGTATTGATTCAATAACGACTTTTTATTTGTTTCCGCCATTTAAGAGGATTCCGCGTTTCCTCGTTTGTTTGAATCTAAATTTAAAAAAATTTTTATTTGTGCGTTACTCTCCAGGATCTCAATACTTTTTTTCATTTTGTGGTAAATCCATAATTTTTTAATAATTTGCCACGAAAGTTGAACTAAAGTTTAAATGATTTACTGAAGAAAAAATGATCCGATAATTGCCCTGATCCCTAACGAAAAAAAATTTACGTTCGATCTTCAAATTTTCAAATATTTTCTTTAATTTTATTTTTTGCATTTTTTCAGGGTATCAAATTTGTTTTTGATATTTCTAATGAAAATAATATTTCTCCTTCACATTTATTCACTTTTCGTTCCAATTTAATATCTAGCACGAAAGAATGGCTTCCTTGTTTTGAAAGTCCTTCTCAACTTTGTGTTTGGAGATTTGAATTTACAGTTCCTAAAAATTTAACAGCAATTTGTTGTGGTGATTTAATTGTATAATTTTATTTATTTTTTAATTAAAAAATTAAAATTTTAGGATACAACTTCTGTTTTGGATGACGATTCTTTAAAAACTTTTCATTATCAATTACTTGTTCCAACAGCTCCGGGAAATATTGGATTTGCTATTGGAGATTTTCAAATGTATGTTCAACCAGAAATGCCCGAGGTTGTTGATACATATCTTATTTTTTGTGGCTTTTTTGGATGGTTTTTTACTTTTGACTTGTGTTTTTGGAATGTTTTTTAAATCGATATTACATTTTTGCATTGAATATTTATTGGAAAATCGCCTAACCGAATTAAGCCAGATTCTATTTTCATTTTTCAATATTATTTTCCCTTTTAGTATTTATTCCTTTTCCTAGCACTTATAAAATCAAGCACTTAAAAATTTCTTTTAAAGATTATTAGCTTTGTTCTTCCATCTTTAATGCCCTTACTTAGACATACAATGACTTCTTTAAATAGAATATTTGTTTTCTTTGAAGAATTACTTTCATGTAGATTTCCTTACAGCACTTATTGGCAGGTTTTTGTTGATCAGGTAATTTTAAAAATTTTTACAAATTTTTCTTTAATTTTTTAAAGACCCCAGATGAATTAACAACATATTCTGGTCTTTCAATATTTTCCTTAAATATTTTATACCACAAAAAGATTTTGGATACAGTTCAACACATGAGACAAATTTTGGCAAAAGCAGTGGCTCAACAATTTTTTGGATGTTTTGTTACTTCAAAAGATTTTTCTGAAATTTGGTTAATTGGGTCAATTTCAAGGTTTTTAATTTTTAAAAGTCGGACATCATTATATGATACTACCCAATACTAGATTTAATGTGCTTTTTTAGTTAAAATTTGGATACTCCTGTTTGGAAGTTAACTAAACGTTACTTCCTCTTTACGATACACCTCATGATAAGATGTAATTTTTTAGTGCTAACATAAATAAGAGCATTTCTTAAAATGTTTCAAAATTACAAATAAACTTTTCAGTTTCATGACTGGGATTTTTGTTGAACGATTTTTTGGGACTTGTGAATTTCTTTTTCAAGTACAAAAATTTTTAAAAGATTCTTGTGACTACGAATCGCGTTTTGGTCCAATAACACTTCGTTCAAAATTAGAAGAATTTGACGAATCTTCATCTGATCGTTCATTGCCAGAACTTTGTTCACTTCTTTATTTGGAAACGCTTTTTAAAAGAGGACATTTAATATTAAGAATGTTGGATAAAAGATTACCTAAAGAACAATTTATTAAAGTTTTTAAAATATTTTTTTAAGTTAAAAAATTGACTCTTGTCCAGTTTATGCATCCACAAGGTTACAAACCTCGTAGACATAAGTTTCAAAGTTGTATTTGGGTTTCATAAGATTTTTCGGGGTGGAACATTGTATTTTATTTATATTAAAGTCAGTAAAATGTTAACTGCAAAAATTATGTTTGGGGATTTACAATGTCCAAAATATGATAACCCCTAAAATAAGCTAACAGATAACCTAAACTGACTATGGATCCCGAAATTGGCTAGGATCCCAAAATAGAAATCTCACGCTACTTTGAAACAAAGAAAATCTATTATTATATTTATGGGACGCATAGACTTAACAGGAGACAAAATTTTTGATTTAAGGTTTTTCAACGAATTTTAAGTATTGGAATGCAAAATACTCAAAATCTAAACAAACCAGCTGAATGGTCACAACTTTTAATTTCTACAAGATCATTTATGGGAATTGTGACTGATGTTACTGGGCAAGAATTTCCTTCGTTTATTGAGCAATGGATTGATGTTGGAGGACATGTTGAATTTCACGTTTCTCATGCTTTTAATAGGAAAAGAAATGTTATTGAATTAGAACTTAGACAAGCTGTTCCTACTCCTATTGGATGTCAAAGGTTGATTTTTAAAAATATTTGTAGACTGGGATGTTCTTATGTTAGGTATTTGTGTAAGACCTTTGCTAACTTTAAAATTTTTGTTCTTTTAATAATATGTTTATGCATAGAAAACTTTGGATTTTATCATTCTCTATTTCAGATATGCCGGCCCTTTAACTATTGTCGTCCAAGAAATTGATGGGCATTTTATTCATACAGTTCAAGTAGATGCTGCAGTCTCAAAACATGATATTCAATGCCATTCTAAAGGAAGAAAATTAAAAAAGAAAAAAGTTATTTTGGGTACTGGAGAGGAAGTTGAAATGGATTTATCTCAAATGGATGCTGATTCTCCTGTTTTATGGATTCGGTTTATTTTTTTACATTGTACCAAAATTAGACACACCTTTTGATTTAAGATACGTTTTTAATTTGGTTTTGATTGGGTGAGGGAAAACAAGATCCACACACGATACCTCTCATTATAAAATATTTAACGTTAAAAATTTACATTTTTCAAGAATTGATCAAGAAATGCTTCTTTTACGTCAAATCTTTATGACTCAGCCATTTTATCAGTGGGAATTTATTTTACTTTATGAGCGAGATGTTTTGGCACAACAACAAGCAATTGAGGCTCTCCACCAATTTCCTAGACATCAAACACTTACAATACTTGAAGATACAGTACGGAATGAAAAACTTTACTATAGGCAATTTAATTTTTTGTATTCTATTAATAATGAAAGAATGGGGGGGGGAGTAATAATCAAGAATCACGTACCAATTTTTATGCCAAATTAATTTCCTTTTAATATTAATTATTCCTCTTTTAGAATTCGAAAAGAAGCAGCATTTTGTCTTGTACATATTTACAATAGTCTTCCAGACAGTCAATTAGGTAAATCTCCTCCACTTATTGATTATATCAGACAAAGTTTTTGTTGCAAAACTTGCCCAGATATTATTCAAGCAAATAATTATGTTGCTACTTCATCAAATTTACAAAATTATTTTCTTTTCCAAGTAGAAATTTTTTTAATAAATTTATTAAAATATTTTAAAGTCTTTGCCATCAGCTCTTGGTTCAATTCGTGGAGAAGGGAGAAAATATTGTCCAAATTATATTGTTGAATTTTTATTGGGTTTAATTAGACTTAATGATAATTCGATGAATCGGTAAAAATTTATATATTTCTGTAACCCTACTATAAGATAGCTGACTCAAGTTTAGCATATTAGAAAACACTAGAATAGAACATTCCCCAATTCTTTCGAGATGTTTTAACCCTTAATCTTTAATTTTTAAAAAAGTTACTCTGATGATTATCAAAGAGGTTCTTTAATTCATGCTCTTGGAAAAACCCTTGTAATGTCAGAAAATCCAATAGAAACACCTCAAGAAATGAGTTTACATGCAAGTAGTGTTTTGGAAGAAATTACTCATGCTTTAAATATGGATATGATGAAACCAAGTTTTCAAAGAATTGTTAGTACACATTGTTTACAAGTACTTTATGAGGTAAATTAAAAAAAAGATTTTCTAAATTGAATTCTATTAAATTTTTCGAATTCCAGCTCCAACGTTGTCATCACATTCCTCAGGATACAGAAGGTTGGAGTTTGAAAAGGAATTTCCTGTTAGTCCCAATAACTACAAAAAAATTACCCGACATTTTTACTTTTAGGGGTTATTGGCCTTTTTCCCTTTTATTGATTGTTTCTTAAAAAATTTTATTTTTCAGTTTTTTGGAAGTTTGGATTATCTAAAAACGTTTATGCTCCGGTAATTTTATTTTTTATTTATTTAAGCCTGTTATTTATTTATTTAAGCTTCGTTTTACTGCACTAGCTTGTATTGTTGCAATGATTAGAAGAAGTAGATCTCAGTCATTTGTTGGTACAATTCTTAGATTAATTGATGTTGTAATTACTGATCCAAATCCTTATATTCGTTATTCACTTGCACATAGACTTTGTATTCAGCCACCTTTTGAACATACTGACAAGTAAAAAATATTTAAAATATTAATATAAGCTTCACCATTGTGATTATAAAATCTTATCCTTTAATGAGTTTATAATAAATAGATTATCATTTTGGGGGTTCACTTAGTAGTTCCCCCGCAAACCAAACTGTATAAATAAAATTAGTTTCTCCTTTATAGTGCAGCAATGTACCCTTTAAACACAAAACGATTATGCCATGCAATTTGGACAATTATTTCAAATCCTGCTACCGTAAGAAGACTGGACTTTGCTAATTAAAATTAAAAATTTTTTTAGGAAGCACGGGTGCGTATCTATTTGAGTGATCTTTATTTTATACTTTACGGTGCTGATTGTCCGTCTAATTTTTCATCCTATTAATTGGGATTCAATTTTCTGTTATTTTTTTAGTGCAATTCCCTCACTCTACTATACATTCAGACCTCACTTTGAGATACCTATACTTTATTTATTTTTTTAAAAATTGGTTGCCCACTGGGTGAGGAGATAAACATCTCAAAATATACAGTTTTGTTCATCACTAGTAAGTGTGTATCTTAAAGTGATGTCCAACTACTATTCCTGAAACTTGATTTTATTTTGTAAATAAAAACTTCAAATTAATAAAATTTTGATGAATTTCTTTTTATCTTTTAAAATATAATGAAAGGAAAATTGTTATATCACCGTTTTGTTATTTTTAAATTTAAATAATTTTAAATATAATCTAAAATAGAGAGAGAGCATAAAAGGAAGAGAGACTTTTTGATTTTAGAGAAATTTAGTTCGATTCTTCGAGTTTAGAAAGTCGTAGCCCATGCAATCAATACCAAAACTGAAGAAGTTAACCAGCCAAGAAGTTGTGATGATCGGCCTGCTCCGTTTGGTGGTTGTTCACTGCTTGAATGTCCAACTAAAAAATGAATTATTTATACAACGAGAACCTTCCTTTACACCTCATATCCGTCTCCCTTTTTGGGAGGGAAACATGAAAATTTACGATATGTATTTCTGGATTTTTATTGATAGAGATATAAGTTTTGCTCTGGGAGGCTTGGTCAGGGCGAACCTACCCGAGGATCACGACCTAAAGGCTCGTACTTAAGTCTAATTATTAAAACAAATAAAAATTTTCTGATAATTACCGTTTTCCTCCTTAAATAATTAAGATTACCTTCAGCGCTTGTAGTACCCGTTCCACTTCCACCGGTGCCAGAAGACATATCCTAGGAAAGAAAATATTGCAGTTTTCTTTAAAATCTTTCTTCTGTCAATTTATTTACCTTTGCATTAGTTGAAGGAGCTTTATTATTATTTTCTTCTGGTTTTTCTTTCTCAGCAGATTGTGAGCTTACTTTTTGCTCAGAAGGTGATTCGCCAGAATTTGGATGTGCAGCTGGTGGAGGAGGATTTGGCATTGTCGATGTTGAAAGCTCTCCAGAAGAAAAGACCGGAGTTGTCTTTTCAGAACTAACATCACCACCTCCATCAACTTTTGAGGAAGAATTTGTAGTTTTTTCAGCTGATCCTAATTTAAAGGAAAAAATTAATTTTCAACCAAATGAACACAAAATTTATACAAATATGTAGATAAATGTGGAGGGGGATTTGGTTTTTACAATTAACAAACGTTATCTCAAGGTTTAATGCATACAATCAACCTATATATCCTGATTATATCAATATTCAGAAACTAGACTAAAAGTAGCTTCCATCTGCCGTCAGACATCGAATTTGGGTCAATCGAAAAATGCAACCCTTATCTTATTTAAAATTTCTAACCAATTCCAACAACACTTTCACCTCCGCCTTGAATGCCAATAACGAAAACAGTAATAATTCCGGCAAAAAATAAAATCTTCATATTTTTAATTTACTATAGCCTTGAAAAAGCGGATTTAATGTTAAAAAAGAAAATGAATGGAGAAAAACAATCTCAAAAAATTAAAAAATGAAATGCTTTTGAGAAAAGGGGAAATTTAAAAATTATTAAAAAAAGGAGGGGAAGGGGGGGGGGGAAGTGAGGATGTGGGGAGGTGTGGTAATAATAAATAAATAGAATTACGCAATCGTCTATTCTCGTTCAATCTCAATCGAGAGGGGGGATTATTAGAAAGATAAAAAAAAGAGAAGAGGAAGGGGGATTGAGAAACCATCATGAGAATTAAATGGATTGAGAAAGAGAAGGGTGAGGAAAGGGTGGAGGAATATTTTGTAAGAGAGGGTCTGATAAAAAATGTCTGATAAGAAGGGTTGTCGGTTTTAAGAAATCGTTAGGGTATCCAAAACGAACTGAGGAATCAAACAGAAGGTTGGATATCAGTAAACTCTCAAGTTTTGAATACTCCAATCTTAATTTTAGGGATACGCCCAGATTAAGATACACATTTTGCCTGGAAATAATGTAATCTTCTTATAAGCCTCAGAGTTGAGAAAATCTTTCAACTATATTTAATTAACAATTTTCTTGCCAAAGATCCCCTCCATCTTAATGACCCCAAAATTTCTTTTAATTACCCAGCCTTTGAGAGGAAAAATAATAAAAATGAAAAATGTGTGGCAATTGATAGTTGTTAACATTTTTTGTTAATTTTTTTTTACAAATTCTTCCTCCTTTTCATATAAAATTATTTGTTTAATTTCTTTGTTCTTAATTGTTTATGTGGAACAGGGTTGTTGAATTGAGAGGAGGGAAAAAGGAGGTTTTTGAGGGAAAAAAAGAAGAGAGGAGGGGAGGGAAGAGGAGGAAGAATTCGCGCACCACACATCTTTTCTCTTTCTTTTTTTTTATTTTAAAAAGTTTTGTAAAAAAATATTTGGCCATTTAAAAGAAACATCCGGGAAATGATTGAATTACTTTTTAAAGTATTTTAATAAAAAAAAACAGAAAAATTAATTAATTAAACAAAGAGAAAAAAAGAATTTTAATTAAATTTAAAAGAAAGGGAAAATAATCGGGGACTTTAATTGTGGGTAAGTTAATCATAAACAAAATTTCAGACCCAATTTTAGAGAAGTTTTTTTTGGGAATCAGAAGTGAATCGGAAATGATGAAGGTGCCGGTAATCGGAACTGTCGGAAATCTCTGTTGAAAATTAAGCAAGTTAACGAAATTTTTTAAAACAACTTTTTGAAGAAAAGTAATTTTAAAAATATTACTGTAAAAATATATTTTCTCTACTTTTTTTTAATGAAATTGTGGATATAAATTGAATATTAATAAAATATTTAAATAAATTTTTATTTATTTTCAAACCCTTTTAATTTAATTGGAAAAATAGCTTACGGGGATTATAGACAAAAATATCTTTTAAATATTATTTATTACAAAAATTTTTAATAATCAAAATTGATAAAAATAATTTCTTTCAGTAAAGCGACAATATTTAATAAAAGCTTTATTATATATACTGAAGAGAATAACAAGAAAATTTTATTATTTATTTAAAAATAAAATTCTTGCAAAAAATATTTACAATTTGAATAGGCGCAATTAATCGAAGAAAAAAATATTTTTTTTAATTTAAAAAAATTTTGAATAAATTAATTAATTTATTTATTGACTGTGTGGATGCCGAATTCTTCGAGCTTAAAAATATTTTTTTAATAATTTCAAAAAAAATTTTTTTACGAATTCTTTCTAAAGGATCCAAAGCAGAAATAAATTGTGGTAACCAAACCTGTTTAATTTATTTAAATTTGTAATTAAATTAATTAAATTTAAATTAACTAAAGCATGTAAAAGTCCAAATATATTAACCAAAACAACTGTCTTTAAAGAAAATAAATTTAATTAAAAAAATTTTTTTTGATGAAAAGAGAATTACTTGAAAGAACACTCTAACTAGATAGGCAGGAATCTAAATTTAAATAAAATTTTGGATAATTAAAAAAATTTTTCGATTCTCCCTCTAATCCCCCTTTGGGCCACATTAAAACTTAAATTGTTAATTAATGGAAACAACTTATGTAAAATTTTAATTTGTCGTATCCTTTTGGAAAATTTAAATAAAAACAATTTCAAGAGAATTTTAATTTATCAGAAAAAGGAATTGAAGAAAAATTAAAAATTAAATTTAAAAAATTACAAGAGGAAGAGTAGTCATAGCCCATAAAGTAGACCCCCCAGCTTGTAAAACTGGATATCTAAAAAGATTTAAATTTAAATTTTATTTAAAAATTAATTAATTACCCAACAATTGAAAGTGTTTCAATTACTTTTTGCTAAACAAAATAATTTTAAAATATTATTTTTTTTAAATAACCTCAGCAGTCATCGAAGAGGAACAACGATGATAACGATAACAAATATGGATAGAAAAATCAACAGCTAAACCTATAGCCATTATAATACCTTTTAAATATATTTTTATTTTTTTTCATATTTAAAAAATTTTTTTGTTGTAGTCAGAATATAGAAAAAGGTTATATCTATGTATTTTAACTAAATAACGAATTTTAGGTCCAAAATTTTTTAATCAAGCGGTTTGTATTCTTTTGTAATTATTTATTTGTTAATCACTGTTACGATATAGTGATCCCCCACATAATTTTATCGGACTCCTCTAAGATTACAAAATCTGTGGCAGAATAAAAAAAATTTAAAAAAACCAACATCCCATAGAGACAGAATCTAATTCAGACCCCCAAAGACTGAAAAGAAATATTTTTAATTTTAAATTCCATACAAAAAAATTTACCAAAGAAATCCACAAACACCCATAGAAATTGAAATTAAAGAAAAGGACATAACAAAAACAGATTGTTTATCCGGAAGAAAAAATAAAGAAATTAAAGTCATTACGGCTACAGCAGAACCAACAGACTTTTTTAAAAAATTATTTTTTCTTTAAATTTTTAATTACTTGCATAGAAGAAGGAGCAATAGTTTTTCTTTGATCAATTAAAAAAGGGGAAAATATTCCAGCCAAAAAAGCTTTAATTTCTGGATATTCATTTAAAATTCTTCTCCAACGAAAAAGTTCTGTTTGACGTTTTTCCCAAGAATTTAAACCATAAAAACTTGTTTGGAAAGTAAAAGCTTTAATGCAAGGTTCCCCATCAGGTACATCATCTCTGATTTTTACCATTCCTTTTTTTAATTATAAATTAATTAAAATTGAGGATGTTAGGTATATGTGTGGGTCTAGCGTGTGGTCTATTTGTGTGTCTATGTGTGGTCTATTTCGCTATAATTGTATCCTATAAGGGAGGTTATCTCAAATAGAGGTATATCGAGGGTGTGCCATTTTGCTTTTCATCTTGCCGAATTTTCTACTTTTTGGTGTTACATCTTCTATCTCTAGCCTGTCGTTTTTAAGTTTTGGCACCCCCCCCCCTTGGGATGTAGTATCTAATATTTGAGGGGTATCTTATAGTGATGACTTTTAATTAATTAATTTTTACCTCTAAATTGTTGATAATCAAATTGAGAAAAGAAATTTCGCAGATGAAAACGTTTATAAAAATCTCTTTCATAAACAACTTGGGGAAAATCATTTAAATATGATTGATATTCCCATAACTATTTTTAAAAAAATATTTTATAATTCTCCTCTCAAAAATTACCCATAAATTAGTCGAAACTCTTCCAATACTGTAATTTGTATTTTCTAATCTAAAAACCATTTCATTAAATTTAGCCCTCTGTGAAGAATTTCTAAAATCTGGAGGATCCATTATATGGATTGTTGGCATTACATTATCTGCCCAAATATATTTATCTACAAAAAAAGGGAAGAGAGAAGTTATAAAAATATTTGAATAATTATTTTAAAAAGGGTGACACTTTTACCACTTTAGGGGGCATCCCCCTTTTTGGCCAATTTCGCCCCCTTTTTTGCCATTTTTTGTGAAGCCATGCCCTCTTTTGGTGGTTTGGAAAGGGTCACCCTGTTTTAGATATGTAAGGGGGAGAGGGGGGAGGGGACTGGCTAGTCGACTTAACTCCCGAAAATCGGAGTTATTTATGTTGGTTAAACCCCCTGGTACTAGATAGGTAATGACGTTGTTTAAAAGAATTTTTGTTAATAAACAAAGCCCCTCCTCTCCCCTTCCCAATATTATTTTAAAAAATAAATTTATTTAAAAAACTTACCAGCCAAATAAACAAAAGTTTGTATTGGAGAATTATCTCTAATATATTTCTTTTTAAATTTAAATTTTATTTTTTAAAAAAGATTTCTTCAAAATTTACTTTAGGTGAAATATCAACTTTCATATTAACACAACCATAAAAAGAGAAGCAAATATATAATAAAAATATTAGCCAACTAATTAATTTAATTTCTTTTTTTAAAATAAAAGGCCCAAAATGTTCTTTAAAAAACCGATGCATTATTGTTGCTTTTAAAAGAAAATTAAATTAATTTTTTTAAATTTAATTAATCACCCTACCTATCCAAAAAACTTTATTTAAAAAAATTTATTCTTAATTTTAACTGTTTTTTTAATTTTATTAAATTTTTTGTGGGTTTTCTGATTTTTAAAATTTAATTTTTGATTGTTTAAAAATTAATTTTTCGTTAATCGTGGACGGGAGAGACCCAATTGTGAACATTCCCTAATTTAAATAAAAAAAATATTTACGTTCATGTAATTCATCAGTTAATCTTCTTTTATTATCTCCTCCCTCCTCCTCTTCTCCTTCAACTTTTTCTTCAATTTCTTTATTATTTTCTTGTACATTTTTATTGCAGCATCTTTAAATAAATACAGTGGTGGTCATATGTTTATGGACAACAACGATTTATCAATAAAATCCCTTATAACAAAACTAAATAAGAATAAATCAAAAATATAATTCGGTGGTCCAAATGCTCAGTTCATTTGCTATATAATACCTTAATTTCATTTAAATCCACCTTCATTAGCATAATTAAAACCCGGTCTAAATCTCTCCACCTCTATTTTTAACGCGTCATATGTTTATGGACAAATTAAATAACCTTGGAGTTCCCTACTTTAGTTGGTGCAAAAATTCTACAAAAATTTCTATGACCATTTCCAACGTTACTGAATAGAAAAGTAAAAAGAATGAAGTCTGTACCTACTTTCTTCATCAAGATCTAGAATCTCAAAAATCAACAGGAAATGGGGGTACAGTACTTCAAAAAATATTTTTACCCCCTAGAGCTTTTAAAAAAAATTTCTTTTGGGCCCATTAAAAAGCCCATAAAATTTGCCACAAGATAGCCCAGGCTTTTATTCTTTCAACAAAAACTCGTGAAGATGAAGGCAGGAATATTTCTTAGGTCATCATTTTTGGGGTATTTTAGGTGATTTTTGACCATTTTTCTGTGAAAATGGATGTATTTCGAACAATTATTTTTTGGAATAAATGCGACCTGTACTAACTTGTAGCAAATTTAATGGGCTTTCAAATGAGCTCAAAAGAAAAATTTTTATAAAAGCTCCAGGGGGTCAAAATATCCTTTGAAGTACTGTAACCCAATTTCCCGTTGATTTTCGAGATTTGAGATCTCGATGAAAAAAGAAGTTATAGACTCCGGTCTTTTTATTTTCTACTCAATATCAATTAAAATGTCCACGGAGTAGCGATAATCTCATTTTTTGGCATTAATCTAAAAAGTTTTAGATGGAAAATCTTTTGTCCATAAACATATGACGCGTTAAAAATAGGGGTGAATAGATTTGGACCGGGTTTTAATTATGATAATGATGGTGGATTTTAATGAAACTAAGCTATTTTATAGCAAATGAACTGTGTATTTGAACTGTCTATTTTTATTTTCGATTGATTCTTATTTAGTCTCGTTATGAAGGATATTATTAATAAATCGTTGTTGTCCATAAACATATGACCACCACTGTAAATTTATTTAAAAATATTTTTACTTAAAATATGCAGCCATTCCCCCTTTTTCTTCACGCATTCCTCCATAAACCATTATTGAGGCAAAAAAGGTTATTTGATAAACTTGAAATTTAATTATTTAAAAGGGGATTCACAAAAATGAAAAAGAAACTTTTCAGAAATAATCAACTAATTATTTATTTTTTAAAAACTTAACAATAATCCATAGCAACACCCACAGCTGTCATAATACAAAAATCAGCTACTGCTGGGGTTGGAGATAAAAAATAACCGAGAGCTATAGTAAAAATAATTTTTAAATATATTTTAATTGTCATCTACCAGGTTGTCCCTTAATTATCCCTTCCCTATTTAAAAGGAAGGAAAGGAGGGAGGGGAGAATTACTTAAAGGAGATACTTCCCCTAATTTCCCTAAACCCCTCCTTCCCCTCCAAAACATCTTTATATTAATTTACTACCAAAACATCCAAAATTAGTTAAAGAAGTAACAGTTATAGAAGCCCCAGCATCACTCATTGTAACCCCCATTCGACGTTCTAAAGACCACCTCGGGTCTGTCATTCTCCAAGCACCAAGCAATAAAAAAGCATCTTTTTTTGAGAGAGAAATAAATTTAAATAATTATTTTTTGTAAAATAATCTAACCATCAACTCCAACTAAAAAAAATAAAATTATAAAAGATTTTTATTTGTGGTATTTTTTTCTGAAAGAATTTTTTGGGGAATCTCAAAAATATATAAAGAATTTCAAAAGAAATTTCCCAACTTTAAAAATAATTAATTACCTGCAAGAATTAAAAACGGCATTGTACTTGAAACCTAAAAAAGAAAAACAAATATTTTTTTTTAATTTATTAAAAAACAAACAGGATTAAAAGGAATTCCGGCAAAGAAAATAATTCTTAAAAAATTATTTTTAATTAAAAAAGCAAAATTATTTTAAAAAAAGTATGTAAAGAGAGGAAATACTCCAGAGATTTTGTAAATATTAGAAGATGAATCAAGGTACATAATGTTAAATATACGCTTCTAAAAACTTTTTGAATAATTTTTTTGGCAAAATTGAGAGAGAAAATAGGGGAAAAGTCTATGAAAAGCAACTTTTTTCCATTCTCTTTAAAATTTTTCTATTAAATTTTTACTTACCCAAAAGTAGCCCCTAAACTAAGGCAAACACTTATAACACCGAAAAAAGCTTCAACAGGCTTTGATTTTCTAACATCTTTAGCCAAATTAGTAAAATAAACAAAAAACATTAATTGAATTGTTGCCGGCAAAACAAAGGGAATTGCTGTTTCTATTATTAATCTTAATTCGTCATCCATTGCTTTTTCACTTTAAATTAAAATTTTGAGAATAATATTTCTTTTATTAACAATTTAGTAAGGGGGAGGGGGTGGGGAATGTTTAGTAAACTACAAAATGTTGTCTAGCATTTAATTTGAAGTATCAGGCTTTAAAAATCAGAATTGAGGGTTAGATGAGGGCCCAAATTATTTATTTTTAAAAAAACAAACTTGTGTGGAATAAATTTAATGTCTGATTCCTAAAAAATTATAAAAATATTTTTCTTTTCTCTTTTCTAATTACTTCAGTTTTTGTATCCCAAAATCCATTTAAATTGTCTCTATAACGATAATAAGCAGCTAAATTATCGCCAGAATTTGGAAATGTTATAAACTTTTTTAAAAAAAATATTTTTTTAAATTTAATTTAAAAAAACCCAATGAATTGTTAAAACTCTTGCCCCAACAATTTCGTGTTTTATTCCAGTAACATTTACCTTTAAAGAAAGGAAAAATAAACTAAAGTGAAGAGAGAAAGTAAAAAATTAATCCCCCGTGGAGGCATTGGACTTGAAATCTCCAGGAAATTATTGCCTAGCGACTTCCGAGACCGAAAATTTTCCAAGAATCAAGACCAAAACCGAAAAAACCCCCAAGAAAGTCTTGAGAAAAAAACCTCTCAAAAATCTCTCTAAAAGACTCAAGACCAAAAGCCTTGGAAGTCTCTACTTATTCTAGTAGGATGATTTGAGCTTCCGGAACATCTTTTAACAGATCTTAAACCCTTTTTCCAGTAAACATTTTTTAAATGTTAACTAATTGGAGGATTTCCCTTCTTTCTTAAACTAATTTTTTAAAAATAAAGACAATTTAAAAATATTTCCCCTACCCCATAAATAATATTTCCAATATCCTTTGGTCGATTAAATAAATACCTTCAAAAATTAAATTTTCTAAAAATAAAATTCAAAACAAACATGACGGGATAAGATAATTGAAGATTTGGATTATTTCTAGTTCCATTAGTTCTAAATAAATTCTCTGCGTGTTTTAACCAAATATTTAAACTTTAATTGAGAGAAAGTATTTAAAAAAATTCAATTTCTTTTCTAAACCAACTCATTATTGCAATGCTCTTGGCCAGGATTTTTTCGACAAAAATCTTCCAATATCCACTAAAAATTAAAGAAATATATCTTTTGTCAGGTAAAATTTATTTTGGTTTTAATCGAGTTGTTATCTCCCCTCCCTCCTCCCATCTTTCGATACATCTGATTGCTTCTGCCCATTTAACAAAAATTTCCATATATCTAATTCTCTCATTTACAACTTTAGATTTTACGAAAATTTAGTGTTTAGAGGAGTATTTTTAAAAAATGAATCTTAAATTAAAGTGTAACTCAGTAAAATGAGGTTATCTTATAATGAAGGTTAAATTAAATATTTATTTATTTAATTTTTACTTCTTCTCCACCCCATTCCATTTTAACATTCATCATTTCCTGTGTATATTCAAATAATTTAGCCAAAGTATCACTAACTAATAAATTTTCATATCTTTTATGGACAACATAAAAACGTAGAATATCGTGATGTTGAGGACCAGAAGGATCTTCAAATAATTATTTTTTTAATGTAAAAATTGGACTTTTATAACCTTTAACTTTAACTGCACGTGCAAATCTTCTCGGAATATCTTTTAATTCATTGGCCGTTTGTTGGGTAGAAATTTGTGTTGAATGAGGTGTGGCAATTAAAGATGGAGGGGGATCAACATCTAATTGCCCCCCTGGAATTTGGTCATAAGCTTTTTGACTTTCAAATTCAAATCGGACTGGAGCATCCAAAGGAACGAATAACTAAATAAATGTTTTAAAAAGAAATAACTAATTCGCTTTGAATATCCTTAACAAGGTTACATCGGCTTCTTCTTTTGCCGATTTTCGCCTTTTCATTGACTTTCGAGCCTTTTGAGTTTTAAATCAGTTTCGGCATACCTATAACCCATAATATGTTAATTATCTAACTTTTTACTCACTTTGTAAAGATCTAAATTAATTTGCAGGTAAACAATTCCTGGAACTGTTAAAATTGTAAAAAGGAGCATCGCAATGAGAACCTCAAATTGAAAGTGATATTTTTTAGAAATTTTCTTTTCAACCTTTCCTGGATTCCTTCCAACGAAAGCTCCATAGGCTCTGAATGCTTCCGCAGTCAAATCACCAAGTCTCTCACCAACACCTAATCGGCTAGATTTACTTAATTGAAGCCGGGGATTGATAGCTGTAGCCGAGGCAAACATTTTTTTATTTTAAATGGTTTGCTTTAGCCTCTCTAAATATCAAACATTTTAATTTAGATGTCAAAAGAATATCCAAAATATCCAAAAATTTGCTTGCCATTTTGAGCGATCGATTGGATCGGCAAGAAGAGATTTCTCGTCATTAAAATGCTATATACATATTAGATAGATTATTGTTCATCCCCCCCCCCTATGGCGGCGCCATTTTGTAATTCACAAATTCTAAGAAAAAGAGAGGAACTGTGTAAATGACCTAAATTTTAAGCTTTTTTCTTATATTTTTCATCGGAAATCGAAGTTTTATAAATTTAATTATTTCACAAAAAATCGCAAAAATAAATATAAAATATCAAAAAAAACTCGTAAATAATCTCAAATATTGTTTAAAAATTATGTTGAAATTTCGTTCCAGTCTAATACTATAAACAAGAAAATTGTAAAGTAAATATGCAATTCAATTATTCTTTTTTAAATCATTGCCGAATAGGCACGAAGACAGCTTAATAAACGCGCATTCAGACATCCCAAACTTTCAGGATTGCTTTGAGTAGCCATAAAGACTGCCTGTGCAAAGTGCTCTGGAATAGTTTAATAATTAAATCTACAAATCTAATTACAAAATAAAAATTTAATAATTATTGTCTGAATAGTTCCGATTCGGAAAAATTTTTCTGATAAAATTTTTCAACAACCAAGGAGTATCTTATTGTAAGGTATCTTATTGTAAGGTATATTTCCTTACTTTTAATATTAATCACTTCAGCAGCAAAAGGTTCATTGTGCTGGGCATTCATTAATTTACAGTAAGGATCATTATATTCCATATCGTTTACTTCTCCATCTTCAGGCACTTCAGTATCTAACGATTTAGGTTTGTGTTCAAAAGCCTCAAGTAAATTAACAATAACTTCAATTATCAAAGAATAATTGTTCCTAAAAAGTTTGAATTTTAATTTTAGACGTAGTATATTTTTTATTTATTTGTTATTCTTTCTCCAAGTAAGGACGTAACTAAGGGCAGACTTGATAAAAATTAACTCACCCAAGTACTTGAATTGTTTCAGAAATTAATCTAGCTGCGCCAATAACAATAATTCTTTTCTCCTCATATGTTGTAGTCTGTGGCATTCCTTTTAATTCGACCAAAAGTATTCTCTCCACAATCATATTATAAATACCCGTTTGAATTTGTTCAAGACTCTAAATTAAAAATTTAATAGATAGCAGAGATCCTGCCATGATTTAAAAAATATTTCTTACATTTGCCAATGCCAATCCTCCTTTTATAGCAGAATAACGAAATATAAAAATGGTGAATTGTTTTGAGAATTTAGCTGTCTTGTTTTGATGCATTCGATTTAACATGGCAAGAAAAACAGCACTGCTGGTCATTTTTTCGTATGCCTAAAAAATTAAATAACAGATTACCTTACAAATTAGAGCTAAAAGTATTGTATTTATGCGTATCCTAAATAATGGGTATCGTTTAGACAGCCTCTCAACACATAAATCAAGGTGTATAAAGTATTAAGTCTATCTTGTAATGAGGCATAATATACAAGTTTTAAAAACTTTATAAACTAACATCCAAATGTGGAAGCAAAGCATTTGCTAAACGAAATCCTTGTTGATCATAAGCTTTTGAAGCAATGAGACGCTGAAAAATTGCCAAAACTTGATCAGAATATTCAGAACCAAAAGGAAGCTGTGGCAGACAACGAATAAAAGACTCAAAAACTAAAATCAAAGCAGGAACATTTGCCGAACGTGCCCAAAAGTCAGGACGTAAAAGTGAGGGGAAGAAAGCAATATAAGCATCTTGGCTCACTGTAACGTTTTTCTCACGTTCTTGTTGACATTGATCAAGTAAAAGAGCTTTTTAAGAAAATTAAAGATAAATTTAAATAATATGAAAAACAAAAATTACCAATAAGCTGAAAAGCATAAGGTTTAAATTCAGCAACATCATTTTGAATTATTGACTCAACCATTGGAATAATATATTTATCCACGCCTCCTTCAACTTTGACATAAGCCTTAAATAAACTTTTAAGATTTCTTTACCAAAAAATTTTTTTACCTTTCTAATTATAACACAAATTGATTCAAAAAGAAAATGAACAAGTACAGGATTTTTGGGTACTCGTATAGCGTCAGCAACAATTTGGGAGAGTTTGCCTAAGTAAATATGCGCACTGGAACGTGACAATTCATCCTTAATAAAAAAAATAAATTTAGATATTAAGAGAATATTAAAATAGTACATCCATAACAACAAATAATCGCATCAAAGCTTTCATAATATAATGAGTCTCATATCCTTGTGGAGAATTTAAACAATTAAAAAGTCTATCAATAACCAATGAAAGTTGAAAATTTGAAGCCGTAAACAATAAATCCTTAGAGTTTTGTACTCGCATTAGAATTAAACGTTCAATTGCATAAGCTACATAATGATGTAATATAAAATGGTTAGAAGAAAGAAAACGAAATATTGAAGTTTCAAATTGACAATTTTCTCCAAGAAAACATTCAATAATTTGATCAGTACTGAGTTGATTGCGAAAGAGCACTAAATATTTAAGTGCATCACAACGTAAAATTGGCAATTCATTTATTGAACCAAAGAGCAAATCAGGTCGGACATTTTGTTGATAAAAATGGTTTAAATCAATCTGAAAGAAATTATTTACATTTTAAATTATATTAGAGGTTTGGATCCCTAGCTTCCTTGATTTAAAAGCTGCAGGATTAATCCCGAGATCTCTTTAAAGGAAAAATCCAACATGCGGTATATTAATCAACTTATAATCAAACCAATTGACGAGTTTCAGTTGCTCCACTTCGTGTTGTAGACCCTTTCGATGCGAGTGCACTGACCAAAAAATAAACAAGATCTTTAAAGACGAAATTTTGGGCAGGATTTTGTTTGTATTTTTCGAGAAAATCCTGAATGACATTCGAGAGAAGAGCACACAATTCGTTGTCAAAATGTTTACATAGGGCCTGCACAAATTCAAATGCACCGCGCCGTCTAGTTTCCAAATCAGAACCTAAAGTCAAAAATGTATAATCCCAAAAATTAAAAAACTAAATTTTTAATATATTAAAAAGGCCTATCTTTTCTATGTTCCAGGGCCCATCTTCTCTATTTCCATCAAAGATAGCCGTTAGGGAGGAGGATTACCAACAGTTAGGGAGGAGGAGGAGGGTTACCAAATGTTAATTTAAATACGGCACATTACACCAGAATATTTAATTGTTAAATTAAAAATAAACACCTTCAATATCCCGTTTCAAAAATTCAAAAGGTTCATTTTCAAAAATTTCAAAGTCTTCTGGGCGTAGAGTTAAATTCTTTACAATAACATTGTCACAAATTGCCTTTAATACGCCCTCATCCCGGAAATATGGAACATATTGTGGACGTTGGCAGATAGCAGCAAGAAAACCCAATGCAGAATTAACTAATGCATCAAATCTTTATTTAAATAAAATTAATATTAAACAATTAAAAAATCTTTTATACCGAATTTTTCCATCAGCAAATACTAGAAGATTCCAAACTGTGCCCATAAATCGTTGAGTATAAGGAACAAAACAATCTTCAAATCGCTGTGAAAATAAAGTTGCTATTTCACATATTTCAGTGCAAAGTTTATCATGTTCAGACGGATCAGTAGTTAATTGCGAATTTTGTTCAGGCAATTTTAAACTTAACATTTGCAAAAATCCTTCCATCCAAGGAGTAAGATTATCCTGAAGAATGTTGTATTTTTTAAATTTAATTACAGTTGAACCTCAATTTAAAATACTAGATACCGTATTTACTCTGGTAATTCCCCAGGGGGATTATTGTTTCAACCCATCTCTAGGGTGGGGAATTAATAGAGACTGGGGAATTAATAGAGTGGGGTAGAAAGAGGGGGATTATTGTTTCAACCCGTCCCCAGGGTGGGGAATTAATAGAGACTGGGGAATTAATAAAGACTGGGGGATTACTAGAGTAAATACGGTAACCTCACTATAAGATATTTTTTTTAAATTTGGTTTGTCACAAGATGGGCGATGCCTAAGTGATACAACCCATTCAAAGAAACTCATTATGTATAAGTTCCAATTTTTTAGCCCGAAAAGTGTATTTTACAGTGAGGTTCGAATATATTCAAAAACCTCAAAATATTCTGGGAGATCCTGAGAAATTAGTGAATGATAAATTCGTGTTAACTCAAGCACAATTTGTAGCCAAGAAATTCTGTCAGTTGGACTAAGCTGTGTCCCTCCTTCCTGGTCTGGAAGATAGAACTGCATTTTTGAAAATAGTTGAGTTAATGGTTCTGCCACCTTAACAATTAATTTTTATAATTAAAAAAGTAAAAAGAACATTTTGAACGACAAAAATAATTTCCCTCCAAAGAGAATCAGAACGCATTTCATGTCGATAGCGAGAAATCATTTGCTCTAATGTACCCAATGAAACAACGAGTTGGTCAAAATCTGTAGCCTTTGACAAATTTTCAGCGAGTAACTGGACAAGACGGGGCCACCGTTCAGGAAAATCATATTTACTAACTTGACAAACAATTTCAGTTATAAGCAATCGCAAAAAGTGCGGGACCTTTAACGAATATTGAATTTAGAAGAGTATAAAAATAAACTTGAAACATAATTTCCAAAAGAGCATTCCTCAACTCTTCCCGCTCATCATCAGATATTGGTATATCCCCCTCGCCAGACCAATTCATCTTAACAAAATTCTTTAAAGAAATAGCAGCAATATTGCGAATATGATTGGGATAATTGGCATCACATAAAATTTTTAGGAGAACACGTGCATAACCTTCAATCAGAAAATTTTTGCATAATAATTTTTAAATTTGTAAAATACCTGGAATTACAGCCTGTTGTGCCAACCCTTCTTGTGCCTGTTTAACTGACTCTGGAGAAAGTGTTGCTTGGAGCAGCCCAACAATTTGTTCAGTCGCCACTTGATTGGACATTTTTTAATCAAAACTATCAAAAATTCTTTTCAAAATTAAAATTATTGCCGTCATGAATTTGAAGTAAAAAATGGACATTAACTCTTAAAAACATAATTTTCGATTCATTAAAATTAAAAAAAATTTTATAAAAATATAACAAAAATGATCTAACAAAATAAAAAAATTAATTGAGTGTTTCCAATATTCTTTCAATTTCTGCACATCCCAAACATTCATTTCCCAAATAGAAAACACATATCTGAAAGAATAAAGATTCGAAAATAATAAAATAGCTGTAAGCTTGAAATCTTACCTGACCAGGTCCAGGGGCTCTCAATGGATAGAGAGGCTCAATCTCCAAATAATCAGAATATTGTAGTGGTTTTTCTGACGAAAAGTTCACTTTACATAAAATAGGAGAATGTGTTCGCTGAATAAGAATTCTTAAAGAATCTCTAGTTCTTGAATGTTGATTTTGTAGAAATTTTTGAAAACCATCAGAAATCATATTTATTTTAGAAACCACTATAAAATAAAATTTTAAAATAAAATTAATTAGAAACTTTACTTACATATCCTTGTTGCATATAATTTTGGATTCGAATATCCTTTACACTAAAATAAAATATTTCGACAATCAAAAAAGTACAAATACCACATAAACAGTTTGTGTTTGAAAATCACAACCAGCTACATAAAGGGCATTACTCGAAGAAATATTTTGTAAAGAACTTCTGTTGCCCTCGACACAATTGAAATTAACTTTTTTCCCGAGAGTAAAGTTGTGTATACCCCTGTGTATTACATCTGGAATTATAGAACCAGTTTCAATATCACAAAATCTCCCTTCAATTGGACTTATATAATTCATTAGAAATTCTTCAAAATTCTTCTTTTTTCCAATAAAGCACATTCCCATACTCTAAAAATAGAAATAGATATATCTATTCAAAATTAAAAAAAACCTCAGTTTTGGTGATAAAAGGAGTAAGACCAGCAGCTTCAGCAATTTCCTTAACTTCACTCTTATAAAGAGATCCAATAGGGAACATTATATTTTTTATTTGATCTTGGGTCAAAGAAGACAAAAAGTAAGTTTGGTCTTTTAATGGGTCTCTTGCTCTATATAATTTAACTTAAAAAATTAAAAAATAAATTCTCTTTTAAGAATTGAACCTTCCTCATTTGGAGTATCATGAAAAGCACCAAGAGAAGTTCGTGCATAATGCCCTGTTGCAACATTGGAAATTCCAAATTTTTCTTCTACAGACTTGATAAACAGATCAAATTTTATAAATCTGAAAATAAATTAAATTAAAAATTATATTTAGACTTTACTTATTGCAATCATTGTCAGGGACAATAGTTCGGCCCAAACGATAATTGTCAATGAACTTTCTAAATTAATAAAAGTTAAAAGCCAGTAGGGACGAAATTCTTAAGTCTGGGCCTGGAGTATTTTAATGTACTGCCTAGGTAGAACCAAGAAAAACCCCAGAAGCTTAGAAAATGTTTGGGCATAAGAAAAAGGTGTGCCTTGGCGCAGACCTAGTTCGATCTCCAATATACATACAAAAATACGTTGTTCCAATATTCCTTTACAAAATTCATTACATAAAACTCAATACCAAGATGTTCACAACTAAATAAGCTAAAGTGAGATTCATATCATTTAAATAACAAACACACGGCGCGCATCAATCATTTCATTTTTTCCAGGACATGAATCTATATGTAAAGATTTAAAATTAAAATTGAAAGTGAGGATTTAAATATTCAAAAAACCTTTGTTTTCATCTTGTGTGTCCCAATTTATCTGCAAAAAACCCAAATTATCTGTTCAATTTATCCTAGAAATATAAACCATATGAACGCCAATAACATCATAACCTCGTTGCTTGAGCAAAAATGCACTAACTGCACTTAAAAGAACTTCATGAATAATTTGATTACTAATTTTACAATAATACCTGTCAACACCTCCTGATATTGCACAAACTACTCTTTTTAGTGCCATAATTTCCAAAATAAATCAAAAAGTGGTTTACAAAAATATAAAATTTAATATATAAAAATTCCCTTATAAAGGACAAATAGAATATTATAAAAATCTTTGAATTTATTCGATAATAAATTTTATATTTTTAAGGAATAGATGACAAATCAAACGGCCCATCACTTTTTGCACCAGAATTATATTGCGCGAGTTGTGATATAAAACTAAAAAATAACATTTAGTCATGTAGTAAAAAAAAGAAAAAATGTCAATAATAAGTAGAATTGCAGGTTTCAACAAATCTCCCGGTTAACCGAAAACCAAACAGATAGACAAAAATAAAAGGAACCAAAGATTTTCGAATCGCCGATGAAAATTTTTAAACTTCAGAACGGGCATGAAGTCAGAAAATTTTTAATAAAATAAACTGCTTACACTTAATCTATTAATTATAATACCTTTTAGTGTTATGTACATAATTAGAACAAAGTACAACACGAAGAGGTGAGGATCCGGTTGTTTGGGTTTGGCCAATTAAATTTGTAATCCCTCGTCCATTCATTCGAGCTACCGCCGCGCTTTCTTCAAAAGTAGCACCGCCAATTATAAAAATTATTATTTCATCAAAACGAGAACTAAAAAAATAAATGCCATAAAAATTTTTTAAATTACTTTATAGAAGAATCTGTAGAAGCAAAATTAGACGCAGGTAATTTTCCACGACTGACAGATTCAATTAACTGTGTAATATAAGGTTCATGCTGTGTGTAAATGTTTTCAACGCCCTTCAAACCTAAAACAAGTTAAAAATCGTATAAACTTAAAATAAGTTTCATGTACCTTTAATAAATTTTTTAGTCATTTCCATAGCAGATTTATTGCCAAATAAATCACTTTGTCGTTTTTTGTGGCCAGAATATTCTAATAAAATTTTGACTAGTTGAATATTGCGATTTGTAATCCCCCTTTGCCGTAATAAATCTAAAATTATATTTAACGAGTTGTTTGCAGAAGATTCAAATCGAAGAGCGTAAAGCATTGCTAAACGAAGTGCATTCTTTTTAAAAGAAAATAAAAATTATTTTCTTCTAATAATAAAATAAAACTAATTCAGTTGTTTTTGGATGTTGAAGTATTCTTTTAAGTGATTCTATACAAGTTTGATGATCACCATTTGCAACAGCAATATTTTGCTCCAATTCAGAAATTTCTAATAAATTCCATTCCGTTACAAGATGGCTAAGTTCACTCACTAATTGTACATGCTTAGAAACAGTCCCTTTTAAAAATTTGTAATTAAACTAAAAATTAAATTTCATTCATAAAATACCTGTCATTTTTCTAAATTGAGGATATTGTTCAATAAACCTTTTCATGTCCACAATAGATTCCAATTGTTGGTGTGTCTGTGCTTTGCGTTGATAATCATTCATTAAACACTTTATATTCTGACCGATATCACCAAAGTTTGAGAACATATTCTTAATTAATAATTTAGTAAATGAGATACTTTGTTCATATTTCGCCCCTATTCAATCTCAAGATTAATATTACTTTACGATTAAAAAAACACAATAGAGTCCTTCCCTCCTCAATCCTACCATTCTCCTATGGCATTCAATCAGTCAATAAAGGTTTATTCGAGACTTATCTCAGAATCAGTCAGATATGAACAAAGCATCATACAAACCTTTGAATAAAATTCATCGTGATGGGAACTCAAAATTAAATTCTTCTGTTCATCTTTAGCATCATTCCCTAATTTTACACGATTGTTATGCATACCAATTAATTCATGAACCATTGCTTCATAAGTCCATTGATTTAAAAGTGGAGAAACAGGATCCTTAAAAACAAAAAAAAAATAATTTAAAAAAAAAAAAAAAATCACTTCGCTTCTGTCGAGAATAATCAAAACGGCATCAGTTTTACACTGTTCAAACAATGTCACATCCTTTGATTGTTGTTTTATTAATTCCTCTGCCAATCTTTGGGCGTCGCTTGATGTTTTTTGATATCTATAAAAAACGCAATTTTTAAAAAATATATAAATATTTATAACCTGATTGAAGGTTTTTTGTTTAAAGAAAGGCAAAGTGCTGTTAAAGCTTGTAAACATCGTCTAAATGACGAAGACGAAAATAAAAATCGTTGAGAAGTGTATGGATTTGGAATGTCAAGTGTAACAAAATATGGAGAAATAGGAATAAAATCAGCGTAGAATTCACGAACTTCTCTAACAGTTTCCTGCTCATCAGAGTCGGCCAATGTTTTAAGATCAGATTTGGAGATTATGTTTGAAAAGTCTAAAATTAAAAATTAATAAAGAATTAGGGAAATGGGAGGAGGAAGGAAGCTCACCTCCAATAGTTCATTAAAAATTACAACTGTTTTATAATCAAAACAACTTACATAAATAATATTGCGCATATTTAGGAGATTTAAGTTCATCAGATAAAAGTTTAATATTTTCAGGCGTTGGCCGAACAAAAACTATACATTTTAGAAATTTTATTGTTTCTCTAATAATTCCAGAATCTAGTCGTTCAAACAAAAACACTTCTTTTAACATCATTTCGCTTTGAGTATATGCACATGAAACAATTGTAGTCTGAACAAGTTTTAAAAAAAATTATAAATAAGCATAAACTAAACCGTTTCTTTATCCATTAAAATCATTTTCATTCCAGGTCCAGCTAATCTCAGCATTTCATTAATATATTGTTGTGTAGCCAAAAATGGATACATGTTCGATCTAATATGGAAACAAGAATAAAAGAATGTCTGAAAGGTATAAAGTTATTTGAAAAAATAAGGCCCCACAAAAGGCATGTTCTGCTGTTAATAAGCTACACCCAACCTAAGTTTTTAGTATATAACGCAAATTTAAATATATAAATCTTGTTTTTAAACAAATGTTTAAAAAATTAAATTTTTAAAAATTTATTTCAAAGAATATTAAAAAAACAAAAATAACAAAAACAAAATCCCTTAATTTATCACTCCCTCTTGTTGCCAGATGATTGATTTGAAGATTTTTCGACCTTAACATTTCATTTAAATTTAAAATAAAATTTAAAAAAAACCTTAAAAAGCTCTCTCAATGAACTTTCCAACCTTTCAGTTTCTTTTTCGCCTTTTTCTTTACTTTTTGTTTCAAAATCAGGAACCATCTAAAAAGAGTAAGAATTATGGCTGTGTGGCTTTAGGCTGTTTGAGATTTTTTGAAAATTTTATACAAGCTCACGCCCTCTATAATTTTCCCTAAAACCCATTGGGGAGCAGTCCTTGAGAAAATTAATTAGAAATTCTTACTTCAGTGGATTCATCATGTACAACCCCACCATCATGAGGAAGATGTCTCGAAGCTCTCTGTAATTCAGCAAACACCTGAGCGTTAGTAAGTTGCTTCGGTCCATATCCCTGAGCAAAGGAAAGAATGTTTTCCATGTCTGAACTTCTAGCTATCTAAAAAAACAAGTTTAAAAAAATTTATAAATTAATGTTAAAATACATTTTGTTCTTCACAAACAGCAAAGGGCCTAAAAAAATTCCACATTGTATCTAATTTTGTCCTTTCAACACGTTTAAGAGCCTAAAAATAAATAAAATTAAAGTTGTAAAATTCACTTACTGGATGAGATTCAAGAAGAGAAGTTGCTTGATGTTTATCTCTTGCCTCCTCAGGAACAGATTCAAGTTCCATTCGGGCTCTAAGTATCTTCAAAAGTATGTAAATGAAAATACAGAAAATAAAACCTCTAATGCTTCTCTAAACATGAGTCTATTTTCTTCTATTTTTTCTACAGGTGGCTCATAAAAACCATATTCGTATTCATATTTACTATTCTCTATGTCATATTCCCATTCCCTTTTTGGAAGATTTCTAAGATTTTATTTTATTCGGAAAAAATGTTTATAGAAAAACCTCTCAGATTTTGGTATTTCTGGAGGGTCGGTTGACGTTATGGTTATTTGATCTGCATTTTTGAGAAGTTGGTCATATTTTTTGTCGATTTTCTAAAAAAATATTAATTAATGTTTTTTTTTGTAGAGAATAAGACCTCTCTAATTTTAACATCTTTTGACATTTCTTTCAAAAATTTCTCTTCTCTTGGATAATGCACCACTGGCGTTTTTTCTCCTTTGGAGATTCGATCGACTTTATTAACAGCCCGCAGTTGAAAAAGTGATATCTTCTCTCCCGATTTAATAAATTTTCCGAACACCATTCGATAAATTTTTCTAAACATCTACATATCTTGGTAAAACATTAAACAAAACGTTAAATTTAGTGGCCCCAATCGAGGAGATTTGGCGAAATATCAGGGGATTGAAAGAATTAAATCGATGTAGAAAATTGCTCAATATCAAGTAAAAATTCCCAGCGTTGCGCCAAATTTTCCTTGCGCCAGGCCGGCCTTGTGCAGGGTGGTCGCGCCATAGTGCCGGCGCCGATCTGCTCTACAGTAGTTCTAATAGGACATTTCAGTCCTGCGATCTCAGTCTCGACGTCATGATTGGGCCAAAGTTTGTAGAAAATTCTTGTCGCTAGTTATGAGATCTGTGAAATATTTTTTGCTTTAATTGGATTAATTTTAACCCCTCTTTTTTCGTCTAGAAATATACTATATAATTTTGAATATAAGTTAAATGAGCCGACGAAATCGTGATAGCAGATCAACAAGCTCTTCACTTTCTAGATCGAGATCTACCTCTCGATCGACATATGATAGTTCTCCACGTGATCGTGATTATAGAACCGATCGTTCTCGTTCTCGTAGTAGAAGCAGAAGTAGGGACCGTGGAAGATATTCCCGTAGAAGGTCACCAAGACGAAGGAGAGAACGCACCAGGAGTCCGGTAATCATTAAATCTGTTAAGCAACAAAAAGGATTTTTTAAGTTCTCGCGTCGGCGTTCACCTGCTGATACTGCTAAACCTTCAAGCAAAGTTATTTTGACTTCTTTACCCTCGTATGTCGACAAGGATGTGGTATATTTTTTCTTATAAGTATAATTACTCTAAGAATTTTAAGCTTAATATTCTACTAGCAAGGCAAGGTTACCATCCAATTGACATTCGTGTTGTGCGACGTAACACAGATGGTGGTTCTGTTCGCGTTTTTGGTTTTATCGAATTTTCTGATGTTTACACTGCTGAGGATTGGATTAGTTTTAACAAGGTTTGCTTCGTTCTTCATGACTTTAAGACATTTTTTAAATTTCTTTTAAAGGGATATTTAAAGCTTGACGATGGTTTTCAAGTACGTTTGGAATATTCACGTGAAGAAATTGCACGTGAAAAACATACCTACAATCCATTAGCTTCTGACTGGACGTGTTCAAAGGTTTTTTTTTACGACTTTAAAATTTACTTAATTTAAGTGCACAATAAATAACTTTAATCGAAGGACTAATTGTTTCAAGTGCGGAACTTCTAGACAGGAGTCGGATGCTATGGAGGCTAAAGGTTATGCTATGGTTGGAGTTTCTCCTTCAGACAGTAAGTTTTCTAATTTTCAGTGATACTTGTTTATCCTATAATTATTAAATTATCAAATTAAGCGTTGTTAATTCGCGAATTGCCCGTTACTGTTACTGAAGAAATCATTCGCTCATCTCTTGGGAAATATACGGATCTGACTATTCAACGCGTTCAAATATCCTCTTCAAAGCTATATGCTTTTGTTCAAATGAGGTCAAGTGATGAAGCGGGAACTGTTCTTCATATTTTCAACAAAACCGTTCCTTACATTGATAATTGTGCAGGTTTAATAACTGTTCTTTCATTAAAACTTAAGCACTTTAAGTGATTATTACGTATTCGCGCCAGTCCCTCAATCAAATACTCATACTGGAAAATGTCAATATTTTGAAGAGCCAGAGCGGAATCAGTAGCTCTAGCATCAGTGAAGGTTTTTTATATTTTATTATAATGTACGATCTCAGACCCCACAAACTCCGCTGCTCAACTTGCCCAAAATGCAATAAGAATCGCCAATATGGGACGCTCAACGCCTAATGCTACACCAGCTGTTTCCACATATGAAGTGCCCCCTCGACAGTGTGTATCAACGCCTTTTGGTTATCTGCCTGTCTATGGTATTAGAATATTTCTTTTTTATTTTTAACTTTTCCATATTTAGAAACACCGGATCCGAAATCCTTCCAATTTGAACCTTCCTCTGGATATTATTATGACACTGCGACTGGATTTTACTTTGACTCGAAAACTCAATACTATTTTAACACCAATACTAATCATGTTTGTGAATATCAATGGCTAGGATTTTTTTAAAAATTCACTTTATCCAATATCGTTAAATTATTTGCTGCCGCGTTTCAGTGGATGTTTTGGTCTCATCGCTATTCTTGTTACATTGATTGCCACGGAGGTGATGACGAGTTGAAAAGCAAATTGCAGGAGGAGGAACGTTTGACACGTCAGTCTACTGAATCTTGCTCAGTTGCTAATCTTCCTACTAGTTCTTCTAATGAATTGGAAACAAACTTGGTTTATAATTATATGAGTATTTATTTTTAATTTTAGGAACAATCACATGTTGAATCACTTGCTGTTGTTTCGTCCAAGGACGAAGTGGCCGAAGAATCCGAAAAGCCTGTCGTAAAACGCAAAAGAAAGCATAAAGACGATGATGAGAACAAAGTTCATTTAATTTTTCTCGATGATTTAAAACACTGTTTTAGCCAAAAACTCCCCAAGAAATACAAAAGGAAATGGAAAAGTGGGCTCGTCGACAGGATAAAATAAAAATGTCTTTTAAACAACCGCAAATGCCTGTTTCAACCGTTGAGAAGTCAAATGTTATGAGCAAACCAATAAATAAGAATGTTGTGGAATCACCGCTTGAGCCTATCAAGGTTGGGATTAACAGAATTGGAGATGTCTTGTTTTTGGATATTTTTTTGAGTTTGTATTTCCTGATTTAGAAGCCTTGGGACGACGACGATGATGATGGGTCTGAAGTTGTGCCTGCTGGTGCTGCTCTGCCTGGAAAATATCTTGGTGTCACGCATCGACTGTTTCGTGTCAGAAAGGCCAGGGCGCAGATGAGTGCTGGACTTGCTGTTTCCAGTGATACTCCAATCGAACAAAGCAATGGTACTTTGGTGGATTCCGTAACGTTCACCTCGTCGTGGCGGATTTGCGTCCGCCAATTGAACTTCACGGCCCTTTGGATCAATTATCTTATGCTGATGTTCTCTATTTCCAGACCAACAGCAGCCTCTCTCTGGCAGAGACCATGGTGATAGTATTGGCGCTGAATCTGATGATCATTCTAATGCATTTGATGAGTCCAAATACATTGATCAGACCAAAAAGTTTTGCCTTCTTTGTCGCCGCCAGTTTCCAGATGTTCAAACACTAGATAAACATGTTAACATGAGTAATTTACATAAGGTATGAAATTTTATCCAGAAGATATTGTTTAATTCATAAGGCTTAATTCAGTTTTTACCAATTTAGGTTTCATTATTAGTTTTTTCTATATCTTAAAACAAATTTTAGATAACCCACTTTCCTTAAAAAATACTGGCCTCTTGGACATTAATTGTGGTTTTATTTCCTCCCTATTTCTGACTTTTTTTTGTGTCACGTTTTTTATTTTCAGAATAATTTGATGGCCAAGGTTAAGGAATTACAAAAAGAAAAAGGTTGCACTCCCGAACAGCAGTATCGGGATAGAGCGAGGGAGCGGAGGAGTCATTTCGGTTACGATCCAGGTTTCATATTTGTAGTATTCTTTGTTAATAAATATTTTAAGGGCTACAAGATGAACCTGAAGATGCCTCCGCCGAAGTGACACAGGCGGTCGCTGCTTATAAGGCGGCAAAGCCACTGGACTCTACCAATGTTGGTAACAGAATGCTCAAGTCTATGGGATGGAGTGAAGGCTGTGGACTAGGACGAAATCTTCAAGGTATCGTTATTATTGTAAAAATTTTAAGATTTACTTTAGGCATCGTTCAACCAATACAAGCGGAACAGCATGTTCAAGGTGTTGGACTGGGTTCTTCCGGTTCTAAAATTGATGTTAATGCCTCGTGGAAGGATAGAAATAGGAAATCAGCCATTCAACGATTCAATGATTTACATGACACATAGATAATGAATTATCCCGCTTGTTCTATATTTCTATGTATTTGTTTTCTGTCGCCATTTAAGTTGATAAATTGTGAATAGCTTCCGCTTATTTTATTCTTCATCGTTGTTTCATGCATATTCATATTTATCTTTTATTTTTTCAATTAAACCGTCCAGAATTTAAAGACCCCAATGTCATACACTACAAATTTTCCACACAGTCGTAAACGGACGGTATATGTCGGTGGTTTTGGAGAAGAGGTTAATGAAAAAATTCTTACTTTGGCTTTTATTCCATTCGGAGATATTGTTGGAGTTAGTATTCCTCTTGATAATGAAACTGGAAAACATAGGAGTTTTGGGTAACATTTAATTTTTCATGAAAGATTCTGACAATTTTTGCTAATTTAAACTCACTTGTCATTTTATAATAAATTTTCAGTTTCGTTGAATTTGAGCTCCCCGAAGATGCAGCTGCAGCAATCGACAATTTGGACTGTTCTGAAATATACGGACGGACAATTCACGTTAATTTTGCCAGACCTCCCAAGGTTAATGAACGAAGCCAAAGGCCTATTTGGGCCGATGATGAATGGCTCAAACAATATGGCCAAGGAACGGGTAATGCAGAGGAGTCAAACGACAGTAAAACAGAGAAGGAATCTGATGAAGTTATTACTATTGATAAAGAAGGTTCAGAAACAGAACAAAGGCTGCCTCGAGTTTTTCTTGGAGTAAAAATTGGAATTAGGTAGTATATGAATAACATAAACTAAATCAATTTATTATGTTTATTTCTAAAGGTATATTGGTCGAATAGTTATTGAGTTGAGATCTGATATTGTTCCAAAAACGGCCGAAAATTTTCGAGCATTATGTACTGGTGAACGAGGATTTGGCTTTGAAGGTATTTACATTTGTTGAATCGTTTTTAATGCTTTTAACTTTTAAGGCTCCAAATTTCATAGGATAATCCCAAAGTTCATGATACAAGGAGGAGATTTTACCGCGGGTGATGGCACGGGAGGAAAATCGATTTATGGAGTGAAGTTTGAGGATGAAAATTTTAAAGTTTCTTTCCTTAATTGTTCTTAAAAAATTATTTATCATTAAGTTAAAACATGTAATGCCTGGTGTTCTTTCAATGGCCAATTGTGGCCCAAACACAAATGGATCACAATTTTTTATTTGCACGGAGAAGACTGAGTGGTTGGATGGGAAACATGTTGTTTTTGGCCATGTCGTAGAAGGAATGAATATTGTCCGGCAAATTGAGCAGCAGGGTACAGCTTCTGGAAAGCCAATGATGCAGGTTAGTAGTTATCTAAAATATGTCAATTAATATGACTTTATAGGTTGTTATTGTTGAATGTGGTGAAGTTAAATAAATTTTTTTGGAGGATCCAAGATTTTGATCTCGTTTCGTTTGTCAACTTTTCAATTATTTTTGTATATTTACTTTTATAAACTTGTTTACTATTTAATTTAGTTTTCATTCAAGTTAATTTATATACCTATTTTTATCTGTTCATTTTTTACAATGTTTTTGAAAATCTTCAGCTTTTATTTGAAAATATTTTTTTCTGAAATATAAAATGTCACGAGGCAAAACAGGCGGAAATATGGAACCAATGCCATTTGTGCGGCGTTGGGGTGCTTCAGCAAATGATGACGATGCGGAAGACCCAACACGAGTTCACCCAAATGGAAGTGGTAGCCTTTTAGTGTCTATAATATTGTTACAATTTTAATTTTAGAATCTACAAGTGATGTTTCTCCGCCTAAAAAGCATCGACATCGTGATCGTTCACGATCCCCGAAAAGAGACAAGCGACGTTCTCGTTCTCCTGATAAAAAGAGACATAAGAAACGTTCAAGGTCGCGTGAGGGACGAAGCAAGAGGCGCCGATCTCGTAGTCGTGATGATGGTAGAGATAGAGGTGTGTTTTTATACTTTTTCTTAAAACGTTTTTTTAATTGCTTATGCGTGTCATTCATTGGAAATATTACTTATTTTCATATTCTAGATGATCGGTCACGTGACGATGGTTTATCAGCTTTTCCTCCCCCTCCAGATTATCTCCAACAAGTTCAGCAACGTCAACAACAGATAGAAATGCAAATCATGCAGCAGCAGATGCAACAATCAATGAAGCAAGAGGTTTCTGATTATGGCCAAGCTTGGCAGGAGGTTTTTCTATGCAAAAAAATTATTTGTTTCTTTTCAAATTAAGGAGCAACAAAAACAGTCGGCAGGAGGTGATGCCCTTTCGGCGGCGCTTGCAGCAGCGGCAATGGTGGCTCAGAAATTGAAAAAGACTCACGGAGCTCCCGTATCTACCGAATTGATTGCTAAAATACCTCCTAAGCAGACTGGATATGCTGATACGGTTCTTTCTAAAGACCAGTGTATTTAGATTTTCATTAAATAATTCCTATTCTGTTGATTTTGTTTCTCAGTTGATGGTAAAAAAGCAGGACAAACAGAAAGTGATGAACAAAGAGAGAAACGACGTAAATCGCGTTGGAGCAACACAAAAGCTTTTGTACCGGGAATGCCGACTATTTTACCTGCTGACATCGATGATAACCAACGACAGATTTATTTGCGTATGTTTTAATATTTTAGTAAATTTTGAACTAATAACTGGATTGACGATTAAATTTTCGAATTAATTTGGTACCATTTCCGAGCTCCTTTCACCTATTTTTGATTATGTAAAAAAATTTTAATCTTTATAGTTCAAATGGATGTTGAAGAAACAACGCGTCGATTACGGCAATGTGACTTTGGTCAAAATTTGGATCCGTCAGAGAGGTCTTTAATGGATATATTTTTGGGTTTAAAGGGGGGAGATTGTATTAATTTTAATCTATATATTTAGCTAATCTTTTTTTGTTTTCTAACTAATCATTTTTAATATAATGTTTTTAGAATTAATTTTTCAATATGGCAGCAATTTCTCTAATCCTAAAATTAATATAAAATTTAGCTTTTTCAGCTTGGAGAATGTGCATGCCCAAACTAAAAATTTTTTTTAATACTTTAAACAATTAAAAAAGAAATTGATGAGAGTTTTTTCTAAAATATTTTTAGATGCCTCTCTCTTTCTCTCAATAATGGGCTGGGCTGATTCCCAAAAAAGTCCTCAGTTTTAAAATATTCATGCTTTTTAACTAAAGATTTTTTTAATTCAGGAGTCCATCGCCAGAACCTGTTTATGACATAACTGGAAAAAGATTAAATACAAGAGAAATACGTAAACGACAGGAACTTGAACTGCGGCGGCATGAGAAAATCCAAGCAATTTTGAGGTTAAATCCTAACTACAAGCCACCAACGGATTACCGGTTTGTTTTTGTTATTTTAGCACTTTCATATTTTTCTGTTCTTTCTATTTTTCTCCTTGCTTCAAGAAATTAAAATTGTTAGTAATTTTTGAAGTAGGGACAAAAGGAAAGGAAGAAGAAAATAAGTACTGTATTAAGTACTGAATAGTCCTTAAAACCATCTATTTTAAGTCCGCCAACTATAAAACTTCACGATAAAGTATGGATTCCACAGGAAGAACACCCTGAAATTAATTTTGTTGGCCTTCTAATTGGTCCACGTGGAAATACATTAAAGGCTTTGGAAGCTGAGGTTTTTTTTAACATTTATATTTACAATTAAAAAATAAACAAATTTCTTTAGACCGGCGCCAAAATAATTATCAGAGGAAAGGGTTCTATAAAAGAAGGTAAACTTGGTACAAGGCCAGGGCCTTTGCCTGGCGAGAACGAGCCTCTACATGCATATATTACTGCAACCGATAATGAAGCTATTAAACGAGGATGTGATAAAGTTTGTTTTGTGGGCTAAATATATTATTTATTAAACCCTTATAGATTAGAGAAATAGTTAATGCAGCATTGATGATTCCGGATGGACAGAATGAACTACGCAAACTACAACTTCGTGAATTGGCACTATTGAATGGAACTCTTAGACCTGAAGATGTGTTAAGTGGTGCTCGTTGTAGTAATTGTGGCAGTGATCAACATAAAACGTTTATTTTTTCTTGAACTTTTTGATCAAAAAATTTTTTAGTTGGGAATGTATGGAAGCTCAAAATATTACAGCTAGTATTGTTTGTACTGCCTGTGGTGGTGCTGGGCACATTGCTAAGGACTGCAAAAATCCCAGATCTGCGCTAGATCCAGCGATGATTGATTCGGAGGTTTAAAGAATATATTTTTGATTTTTAATTTTTGTTTAGTATTCTGCTTTGATGGCAGAATTGGGCGAAAAAGCTCCTGCGGGAGCAGCTGCTGGAATGTTTCCACCTGCAACTTCAACTGGCGTGAAGCCAGCAATGCCATTAGGCGCATTCCAAGCTCCTCCTGTACGCCCGCGTTTTCCTCTTGCGGGGCCTCCAACACCAATTGTGCGTGTCAACTTGGCGAAGCCTGGAAGTCAACCTCCTGGAAATCATCCGCCTGGATATCAGCCTTGGGCAAGCGGTAAGTTTTAAATTTATTTATATAATGTGTTATTCGGCTATAAATTGTTCCATATTCCATTGCATTATTAAGGTGGAATGTTTTTTAAAATTAGCCAAAAAAAATTGGGCATTGGGTTCAAGTATTTATAAAGTTAATGTTAATTCATAAATAATTGGTTATGCCCAACATAACCTTATTTTTAAGAATTAATTTCGAATTAAAAATAAATTTATTTAGAAGCGCAAGGTAACTTTTATGGATTTTCTGGTCTTCCTGGTCAAGATCCGGCTGCTGCAGCGGCTGCATGGGCAGCGTGGCAAGGCTATCCTACACCTGTTCCACCTCCTCCGAACACTGGTGCTGATGGTGGTGGATCTTCAACAGGGGGTGGGTTGGCAATGTTTCCACCTCCACCACCTCCTCCGCCACCAGTGCCTAAAGCGGAGGTAATTTTTAGATATATATTTTAAATTTTTTTGAAAATTTTAAGGTTAAGGAAGAATTTGGATCGATCTTTTCGGCACCGCCACCACCGAATTAATCATTTTAGGTCATAAAGTTTTTTGGGGTTGGAAATTTTTCATTAAATCTAAAAAACTGTTCATTCCTTTGTCTTAAATAATTTAATTTAAATATTTTTTAAAGTTAAAAGCATAAATGAACAGTTTTGGCCCACGAAGGTCTCTGATAATTTGGCTCGTTTTTGTTTTATTTTTATTAATATTTTCTTTGATCCTTTCCAATTGCTATATATATTTTTCAGTTAAATAATAAACTTTAAATTTTTAACATCTTTTAGATCAGTTAAAATAATTTAGCATTAAGAATGTGCTCTAGTTTAGACCCTTTCTATGATCATCCTTCCATTTCGTCTAATAAATTTTCGAAATCACGGACAATAAAATCCAAAAGTACGGCTTTGCGCCGATTCCGCTGCCATGTTTGTACTTCCACGTTTAACTTACTACATATTTACTCTCTCTCTTCTCTCCCTTACCACACTAAACTGTTACTATTTAAAGATTCTTAATTTTAAAATACTGAATATTCTGCAGGATTAAATTTTGTATATTTTAATCTTTGGATAAATTAGAAAGAATTCAATAAAATGAATATAATATTATAAGTATTTTCCTGGTAAAAAATGTTCAGCCAAAAGTTCTGGTTCTTCTACCAATAATTGGACATGATTTCCATCTCTACTTTCACTCAATTCTTGAGCAAATTGTTTTTCAAACTTTTGTTGTAACCATAGACGATAAGCCGCCTTTAAAGATTAAAAAAATTACTTTTCCATAATGCAGTCACCCCTTTATGGCAGAAAATTTTATCTTATATATGATGTTAATTTAGGTGTATCATTCTTTTCTCCCTAATTCAATCGTCACCAAATTGGTTAAAATATTCAAAAATTACTTGTGCAGAATTTCTTCTAAAACTTTCTGGTCGAGGTGTTGGAGGTCTTTCTAATGTTAAAACTAAATGATTAGGCCTTTCTATAGCGACAATTGGTAATGGGGAAGATCGGCATGGATGTAAGGAAGAATGTTTATTATTAAAAGAGGATTGCGTTGTTGTTTGTGGAATAGCAAAATCAATTGCCGCTTTATTTAAATTATATTCCTTTAAAAAAAATTTTTGAAAGAAAACTTTTTTTAATTTTTACTTTTTCATAAATATCTAAAGGATCTTCTTGTCCTCTATTTCGACAACAACAACAATGAAATATTCGATTAAAAGACCACCATGTTCTTTTAACTTGATAAAATTCTGGTGGAAATATTCTCTCATTATTTAAAATCATTTCTGAAGAATCCATTACTTCTTGATTAGTTGATTGACAATAAAAAGCTGCCCAAGCTAGAAAATTAAGAAAAAAAATAAAAGGAAAATTAATTACAGCCATAAAATACTCTGAGTTATCATATAGGTATTTCTGGAATTATGTATCTACTAAAGATGAGGTACTCTACTATTGTAATTAAAACAAATAAAGAAATCCCCACTTTCGAATATTCTGATTATTAATTTATCAGTTTTTTTTGCATTTATTTTCATTAAATAACAGGAAAATGTATATTTCCGATTATTTGTAAAAGAAAAAGTAATGTCTATATTAACAAAAGTACATTTTATTTACTAATTATTTTTTGTTATTTTAATTGGCGTCAAATCTCTTTTTTATTTTTAAAGTTAAACCTGCGATAAAAGCAAGTAACAAAACAGCAAAAATTAAAAGTAAAAATCCAACCCAAAAGGCAGGGTTATTACTTGTAGTTGAGTTTGTTGCTGAAGAAAATGTTGGGGAACGGGTAAATTCACCGTTATTCATTTAATTGGAAATCAAAAATATTTTTTGACAATTGAAAAAATGAATTTAGAAAATAAAAATGTCTTTTAAATCGGCTTTACTTTTTAAGGGTTTTTAAATTCTTTAACTGAATTTAGAAAAATATAATTTTTCTAAATTAATTTGTTACAATGAAATTTACTATAAGAAGATACATTATTTGGATTAAAAAATCGTTTAAAGAAGTTTATCTTAGATTCCTCATTATCAGATTTGGCCTAGCCATTCCCTCCCTTAGCCTTTATGGAGAAATAAATTGATTGTATAAATAAATATTTAAATAATGTAATTCAGTCTAATATTGGTCCCCAGAATAGTAGAACCCGAATTAAGCTATAAGTAATCTCAAATGTAGCAGGTATAAGCTAAGCAATCCTCCCCCTTCTCCTTTCACCCCAAAAAAATTTTTTAATTGAATTTATTTAATGTTGGATATACTTTATATTGAGAGGGGTTTTTAAAAAAAAATTAAAAAGAAAAATAATTTTTGCAATCTCTCAATAAAATATTAGGTACATATACTTTTTTTCATTAAATGTTTGAACACCCAAAAGGCAATATATCCTTCACCTTCTTTTTTAATAGTTAATCCTTTAAATATTTTATAATCCTTTACTTTTTTTAATACAAATTAATATTTTAATAATTAAAAAATAATGGAAGAATTTATTATGAGAGAGAGAGTGAGGGAATAGGTGCACAAAATAAATCTTTTTTTGTTTTAATTGTGGAAATATAATTTTAGAATGGATCATTTATTTACGTAAATATGGGTAAGGGAGGAAATATTTTTTTATATTTTTGATTTTGAAGCCATTAAAGTAACAAAAAAAACTATTTTCGTTTTAAAGTATCGACCTAAATATATTTTTAAAATATTTTGTATGGATTCTCTTTTAAAAAAATTTTATAATTATTTCACATTATGGGCAATAACTATAGGGACTACATCAACTTAAAAACAGCTTCCATTGCTGACCAAACATCAAACCAAAAATTCACTCAAAAGTGTGATCTGATTTGTGACTTAAATTAAAATTTTCCTAAGAATATAAATTTAAGTCTATAATTATTTTTCTAAAGAGTAAAATTGAAGAGATTTTGTGTGGAAATTTATATTTAAAAAAGAAAAAGAATTTTCTTTTAATTATTAAAAAAATTACAATCATTTAAGAAAAAATATTACTTTTTTTTAATTTAAAAATTATTTTTTCCTTCCAAATCATTTGTTTCAATTTTATGTTTAGGTATCAATAATGAAGATTGTTGTTGTATTTGGAATGGTAAACAAGAAGTAGCACTTTCAATTATTTGTTCTAAACACCTTCCAAATTCTTTTAAAACACTTTTTTCGAGTTCTTCTTCACAAAGATTATTTTCCTTTAAATTAAATTTAAAAAATAATTCTTAAAAATATTTACAAGTTCTTGTGCTTGTGAAACCAAACACCTTTAAAAAATAAAAATAAATTCTTTAATTAATTAATAAAAAAATTTAAATACATAGTTGTTGCTTCAATAACATCTTCTGTCATATAAAACCAAGGTTGACTAAAAAATATTTTTTAAAAAATAATTTTTTAATCTTTCAAACGTTTTTGGATCAAAATAATTGGAAGCCCTTCCACCAATTTCTTCTCCATCCACCAAAACGTCACTTCCGTCCATCTCGCTAGTTGGAGATTCTGAATGTGTTCGAGTATCTGCAGCAGCTGCCGCCGCTAATTGTGCCAATCCTCCAGCTGTTGTACTAAATTTATCTCGAAATTTGTTGTGTCTATCGTGCTCTGTATTTCTTTAAAAATAGAAAAAAATTAATTTTAAAAATTTATAAAAAAATAAACTTGCAAGCAATACATTTACAACGTTCAGTACAAGGAACTTTTGCCTAAAATTTAGTTAATAATTAATCAAAAAAAAAATAAATTAAAAAAAACCTCATAACATTCACAATAATTTTTCAAACAATTAGACTTTTTACAATGGCATCCTTTTTGATGTAATCTTTCCATATCAATTGCCTTTCCAATCGCTTTTGCAGCAACACCTTTAAAATAAATTTTTTAATTGTGATATATTTTTAAAAGCTGTAATGACATTTTTATCATAGATCAACAGGTGTAGAGTAGTTTTTATTCTTTAATCCTACTTTAACCGAAATCAGTTTTAAAAACAAAATTTTTTCTTGGTTTATACTTCGTGTTATTTTAACGTTTAAACCTGGAATAAGAGAGAAATAAACAAGTCTTTTTTTATGACTCAATCTAATATTCAAAATTTAGAAAAAACAAACCAATTTTAGGTTTAAAAGCGCTAGGATTTCTTTCTAATGAAGATTTTATTGCTCTACTTCTTTCAGATTCATGTTCCAAATTATTATGACAATCCCTACAATTACAATCCAAACAAAATTCTCCACTAGCAAAACAATCACAATAAAGTTTTAAGCACATTGATTTTGTACAATTACAAGGCTTTCTTTTGCTTGCTACTTTACGTCTAGAAAAAATAAAATTAAACTTGTCTATAAAATATACCCCCAAAATTGGATATCACTAACAACTTATTAAATTGATTGAAAAATAGGTGGGGACCAAATTTAAAATCCGTTATAGAATATTAAAAATATTTACAAAACTAAAAACAAACATTTTTGCAGGTTTTGGCGATTTTGCAGGAAAAATGCTAGCAAAATTAGCAGAAAAGGATGTTGGTTCCCTCTTAATATTTGCAATAGACGGAGGTGTATAAACTAAAGATGTTCCAATTTTTGTTTTAATATTTTGTATATTTCCAATTGGTTGAACTAAAAAGAAGATAATAAAAAATAAAAATAAATTAAAAATAAACCTCGCCCCGACGAAATTGAATTTAATGGACGGAAAGGTGCAGAAGATTTTTGCTGAAAAAAATTAAATAAATTATTTTCAAAAAATTAGAAAAAAACCTCATTTTGTCCATAATAAATATTTGAAGAAGATTCTGGGTGATCTGATGTACTTTCAATAATTACATCTTCCTCATAATACTGTGAAAAATAAAAATAATTTAAATTTAAGAAAATAATTTAAAAAATTATTTTCTTAAATCTAATACATTTTTTTACTTAAAAACCCCCCAAGAGAGAGAATAATTTAAAATCCCTCTAATTTAAATCTCTTAAAAACCCTTACTTGTCCATCCTCAATTACATTTTGTTCTTCAAGTATTTCTTCATATTCAACAACTTGTTCAGGAAAAGTAGCATCGTAATGGTCCATTTAAGAATTTAGAAATGAATAAAAAAGATTACTTTTTGATTATTACAAAATCAAGAAAAACAATTCCTTTACTTTCAATTAAAAAACATATTTAAAAATGTCCGCGCTAAATCGACAAATAGAGAGAAGATAGAGAAAGAAAATAGCATGGGAAGTTTTAAATTAACACAAAATAATTTATGGCATTATTTTGAAAGGGTAGCCCAAAAGGGCACGCGGCCATAAAGGCGCAAAGCCATAATTTGCTTAAAAATATCCGAATATTTACAAATTTGGTATTAAACGATTCATCTTGTCGAGCTAAAGAAATTGGTATCAAAATTGATAAAGGCTGGAAATTTTACAGCTAGTTATGGAGTTGCGCCATTTTGGGCGCGCGCCCTTTTGGGCGTTTTCCTTTTGAAATTTCTCGAATTTCATTTTGGTAACTTTTATTTGGGGAAATGATGAGAGAGAATTAATTATAGATAGAGAGGAAATGGGGAATAATGAATTTTAGTTTTGTTGATTCTTGTAGTAATTTTTACTTTTCTTTCTATTTTTTTCTTTTTTTTTTTAATTTTTTTTTGCTGTTTTAGATTCGTTCATTTTTAATCAGTATTGAGAAATGGCGCCTAAATTTGATCCTACTGAAATTAAAATTAGTATGTTTTTATAAATTGTTTTTCCTTTTATTAACTTAAATTTTCAGTTTATCTTCGTTGTGTTGGAGGTGAAATTGGTGCGACTTCTGCTTTAGCACCAAAAGTTGGACCGTTAGGATTGGTTTGTTTTTTTCTTCTTTTTACCAGGTTTAATAAGCTATCTGGTTTTTTTCACATTTATTTATTTTTGAATTTCTTACTTTATACATACTGCAGACATATTACATTTCTATTTTTAATTTTCTAGTCGCCAAAGAAAATTGGAGAAGACATTGCAAAGGCGACCCAAGACTGGAAAGGCTTAAAGGTTACTTGCAAATTGACTATCCAAAACCGAATTGCCAAAATCGATGTTGTGCCGTCTGCCGCTTCTCGAATTGTGAAGGAATTGAAGGAACCTCACCGAGACCGCAAAAAAGTCAAACACGGTATGGCTGGATGTTCTACTTATATTTTAAGGGTAGAGGGCTTTACCTTGCCCTCATCCCCCATTCTTTTTTAAATTTGAATGGATACCTTTTCTCGGTATTTGGTGAGGTTTGTATTTTGAAATCAAAATTTCCAGTTTTTTAAAGTATTCAATAAATACAATTTTAATTTAAAATAATTTCTAAAAATTTATTTTTCAAGTAAAACACAGTGGAAATTTGACGATCGAGCAAATTATCAACATTGCTCGACAAATGCGACCTCGTTCAATGGCGAAAAAATTAGAAGGGACTGTTAAGGAAATTCTTGGTTTTTTTTTCAATTTTTTAATTTAAATCTAACAAAATTTTTGTTAAGGCACTGCACAATCTGTTGGGTGTACTGTTGATGGGCAACATCCGCATGATATTGTTGATGCAATCCGAGGTGGAAAAATTGAAATTCCTGAAGAGTAGAAGAGAGGAGAGAAAGGAAAATAAAAGTTATTTAAGGAATTTGTGTTTTGGTTCCAATGTTGTTAACAATCTTTTGATGTTCTTTGCTGTTTTTAATATTAAATATAGTTAAAATTTAAAAAAAGGTTTTTGACTTTGAATTTAATTAGGGACTGGTAATCCATGAAAAGGATTGTTTTTTTGTTTTGAAGAAAATTGGAGAAGACTTAATTGATTAATCCAGAGAATGTTCAGCCTAGAGAGTGATCAATGGAACAGTCGAGAGTGATAAATTGATTAAGCGGACCATAGTGATCAATCAAGAATCTTCTTAGAAATCTATCACTCTCTCGATCGATTCGATTGAGGTTTGTTCTGTTTTTGGAACGACTTTCCCATTATTGGAATACATAATTTTAGTGTTTTTAGGGTTGACCCCGTTCTTTATCATCTCCTACATTCAGCATCATAAAAAAATAAAAGTCAAAACTTTATTTTGTTTTTTATCGTCAAAAACAAAGAAACTTTTATATTTTCTCAAATTCTTGATTAAATCCACTTAAGTGTATCTTAAATACTCTAACAAATAATTTTGCCTTGAGCAATTGCTTGAGGCAAAATAATTACAAAAATTGTTTTTTAATGTATTAAGAGAATGGAAAGTAACGCTGCTGGATATTTTATATGTATATTGTTATTTTTTCTTCAAAATTTATTTTCATTAAGAATTTATTTATTTTAGCCTAAAAAATTATATCTTCATAATCTTTAACAAAAAATACATAGTATACCTATTTATTTAAATTTTAATATTTTTTATATTTGGCTACAAAACTTGTTAACGAAAAAAAACCAAAAATTAATATATGTATTTACAATCTAAAAAAGAAGATAAACAAAAAATAAATATTCTTTGTAATAAATTAAAAGTCTTTATTCTCTTCGAGATTGTGTGGAGGAGTGAATATAAATTTATTTTATTTTCTTCTAAATACTAAGAAAAAAATTTTTGAATATTAATTTATTATTTTTTCAATGCCACAATTTTTTAATATTCTATAAGAATATATACATATATTTGGTGAATATGTTTGTAGATTAATTCTTTGTTTTTTACTTTTTTATATTAAAATATTAATAAAAACCTGACCAAGACAAAATCTCAAACAAAAACATATATGTATTTTTCGAGATATTTCCACCAAACCTCCTCCAATCCCGTATCTGATCCAACAAAGAATTCTTGTTTAGTTTCATTTCCTATAAATTCAATAAATTTTTTTGTTTTATGAATAATTGTATTAAACAAAATATGTAGGGGGTCCACAGTTATCCCATAATTTTTTTCTCGGACCTGAATTCTTTGAGAACCCCAAACAATATAAACCTATATTAAAACCAGAAAATTTGAAGTTGTAAAAAGAAAAATATTTTTTTTTCATGCCAAAGTTTATTTTTAATTTATCATTTAAATTCTTTAACTTGTCAAAAAATTTTTCTTCTATTTCAAGTGTTTTATTACTTTTGATTCTGTCTATAAAATAATTTTTTCTTTCAATGATGACCACTAACCCTTTGTCATTTAATCCTCTATATATTTATTTATTAGAATTCATTCATCAAAAATATGCCACTTTAGACAAGAAAAAGAAAGTTTATTTATTTAATAATTTTTCTAAATATAAAATAGGTAACCTTTTCAGAAAATATTACTTTTATATACCCAAAAGATTATTTTTTTCATTGAAAAATAATTTTCATTTCTTCCCTTTGTTTTGTGTCTCTTAATCATTTTTATTTTTTTTCGATCTGATTGACTGTTAAAAGAAGGAAAGGGAGGAGGGGATTATAAATATAAATAAATGACCACCTACATGTATTTTATTTATTTTCTGATTAAAATTGTTTATCATTTTTTCGTCCAATAATTAACGTGATATTTTGTTATTAAAAACTCGGGTTTTTTAAAATTAACTACTTCCTCCTTTTATTATTTCCACTATTTAACATCTGTCACTGAAAACATTCTTTTTTATATTTCCTCTGACCTTCCCCCTCTATATAATTTTTCTTTTTTAGACCGTCATTTCTAATTACTCTCTACTAGCCTTTAAGTCATTTTAGAAGCGAATGGACATGCTTTCTATATTTCTAGAAATGTAAGGCTTAGGCCCTCCCTTATCTAGCCAAATTATTTTTTCCTGCTGTGCACTTACATATAAATTAATAAAAAAATATGTAAATTTTGTTTTAATTTATATACAAGAACCACTAATTCCGTACACCCCTGATACATACATATATCACAAAGATAACATGACAAGATATTTGATAAATGGCTATTTTTTGATCTAACTAGTTTATAATTTCAATAAACCTTTAATGGAGGTTTGTAATCTTTAAGGGGTATTGTTTGCTCTTGTCCAATTTATGCCCTCTGGGACGAATTTCCTACTGACAGCCACTTTACTATAGTAAACTAAAACATAGTACAAAATAAAAATGGCAAACTAGAAATCAGTGGGAGGTACTTATTAATAATCTCCAATTACAGTATCATTTTTCCTTGGACTCATAAAATAGACAAGAGCTCTCTCTGTTTTTCCAATTCTAAAATTCAAAAACTTAATTTTTAAAGTTTATAAATTTTTATCAAAAATATTTTTTTACATTTTTTCAGATTTTTGACCGCTTTTTTAAGTTCTTTTTTTATTCTCTCATACTTATTTTTTTCATCGTCCATCCCCCCCCCCCAATATCGATCTCCTTTTCTATCTTTTTTCGTTGTTCAATTTTTTTCTTTTTTTAGTCCACTCATCATTCTCTTCTAGATACTATTTATTCTCCCCCCAATCCCCTCTAAGAATTTGTGCCGTCACTAAAAGATCAAACACATCAAATTTTTCTGTAGGTGTCCGGAAATTGCGGCGAAATGACAAAAAAAGCTTTTTAAAATGCTTAAAATTTTGTGTTTATTTTTCTTAAATTTTAAATAAAAATTAAAAAATTGTCGATAATTTTTTGTTTATACACTCCCCCTCCCCTCCCCCCTCCAATACTAGAAACACCTTATTTAATTTTTTTTAGAATCGAGGAGGTCTGACTGTATTTAAAAGTTATTCTTAAATCTTTTTTTAAGAAAATTTAATTTAAATGACCTTGTAATTTAATTTAGTCTTTCTCTGGAAGTAATTTTTCTCTCCATTTTTTCAGTTAATTAAAACAAAATATTTATATTCGATCCTTAGATTTATTTATTTTCTTTAAATAAATATTTGTTTTTCTTATAAAATGTCCTTGGCCGGTTAATTAATTTAATTTTTTTGCAAAAATACCCCCCCCCCCTTCTTAAATAGTAATTTGCCAGAAAATAAAGGAATAAAAATTGAAGAAAAGTAAATGAATTGAATATATGTATTTTTTTATTATTTTTATTTTTACTGGTTGCCACGGACTGTCACAAAATAAATGAACACCAAAAATACATATTTTTTCTTACCTATTCTCTAACTTTTCTTTTCTCTTTTTCACATCCTAGAATTATCAACCAGTCTGCCTGCCTGAATGCGCCAAACATCGAATAAAATAAAGGGAAAATGCAAATGATTTTGTAAAAATATTCTCCTTTATGTTAATATCCATCAATCTTCTTTTTCCTTTTTTTTGGATTAACCCAAAGGATCGAATGATAACTGAAGAATAAACTATTAAACCGAGTTCCTTCCCAATAGGTAGATCTAGTTTGAGGTTATGACTTGATAAATGTGAGCAAATAATTGCACTTATTGTGTTGTAACTGCTTTAATGAATGATTAGACTAGATCTGCCCTGCTAAAAAAATTGTGTTTATCGAGGGCTTTCGAAACACTTGGTCAATAAAGGCGATCAAAGCTGTCTGAAGCTCTTTCCGATCTGTTTCTATGTATAGTATACATATAATTCGACTAAATATACTTTAAATGATCACAGATAATTGAGGACAAGACATCCAAAGCCCTCAATTAATAAGGATTTATTAGAAACAGTTAAATTCATGAATGGTTAATAACCGAAAGATTTGATCTTTTTTTACGATCTTTTGGGTAAAAACATTTTTATTTGACTGGTTTTTATTTATTTATGTAAATTAATCGCTTAGTTTTGACCTATTTTTATAAATTTAATGATTTCTTTAAACGATCGACTTTTTTAATGGTTTGTTATTGACAACCACACACACATTTCCCTCTTCCCTTAGGGCTTTGCCGCCAACAAAAATTAAAAAATAAAAAATAAATGCCTTCCACAAAAGTTGGAGGCAAAACAAATAATAGAAATAATCAAAATTGTGGTTCGTCTTCTTCTGATGAAGCTGAACACATTGGGGGGACTTGTAGTGGTGGATGGCCTTCTGCAGTTAGTGTTTTGGTAAATTTTTTGAAAATTTTTTTTGATCAAATACCTCGGAATAGTTGAATATCATTTTTAGATACCCCTCCCCCCCTCCTCTATAGATAATTGAGGAATCTTGAAACATTTTCAGAGAATTGGGTTTGATAGTCGTTTTCCAACAATAAAAATTACACCTAATAATTTTTATAATTTAAATGGATGCTTTTAAATAAAATTTATTTTTAAGGAAACTCCTGACAGACGACGAGTAAGAAGTTCTCTTCGATCAAACAACAAAAATTCTTCCCGAACACATTCAATACCGGAAGTTTCATTTCCTTCCTCTATTTCTACTCATTTATCTTTTGCTTCAACTTCTTCAGTTATAGCTAATGACAATTCTCCACCTTGTCGATTGGTCTTTTTAGAAAATTTTTAAAAATTATTTGGCAATTAACCCTTCCTTTCCATATTTTAGTCCCTACAATTTAAATATATACATTGTAGGAAGGGAATTTCCAACTGACGGGGAAGAAAATTAGAAAACAGAGCCATCTACGGAAGTTCAGTTAGTTGGTGCTGAGCGAAACTGACAGGAGATTGCTGGTTCGATCCCTCCCCGGTGGCTAAAAATTTTGTTAAATTCTTAG